CTAAAGATATAACTGATTTTCAACTCTTTTGATGCAGAGAAAAAACTCTTGTGATGTCATCTTAACCTATTCTCAGATTACTTTATCCATAGTCTGTGAGTTGGATTTTTCAACAAAGATAATGATAGACTCTTGTAACTTCAGGTAAGCAAACTGGTACCTTACAAAAAACAAACATATAGTACCTTCCAATAACATAGAAAACCCAAGGTAGTGACTGAAGCCAGTATAAGGTAAAGTAAAGGAAATATACAGAAGTCAATAGATGTACAAGTGATATGAATTTATAGTGATTAGAAGAAAATAAATAATCAAGTGAAAGAGTAATATACAAGACAATATCATGACTGAATTATCGAAAGAATTGAATAGAGAGAGATATAAATAACTAACCTTAGAGGTTGTAACAACACTAGAGGGCTAAATAAAGGTATATAAAATATAGGTAAGTATAAATAATATAGGTGAAACATAGCACTCTCATAAATAACCATATATCAATTAGGATGTTCAGAAACATGCATAAACCAAAATGATACCGTTGGATTTGTCAACCTTGTTTTGTCATTCAGACACGACAACTAAATGAAGCCTAGTGTGTCTTTTTTAACAGACAAGCAAAATAAAATTACAGGCGTTTCTCTGTTTCAATGACTTGAAATGATTTATATGGCAATTTATGAGAGAATACAAGTGAAATGATGAACAATGATAAAGGTATTTGAGGGAAAGATAACAGCATGCAATAACAAGAATGGTGTTCGTGATGAATGTGAAGGTGGAAAAAACAAATATCAGCTCTTTGATTCACATCCACTTTGTTTTTGGACAAACTTATGACTTAAGCTAGTTTTCTAGCAGTCAAACGGGTGAACCGAATAAAGATTGTTTAAGTATTGAATTCAAACTAGCTTTACGTAAAAATTTATCTTATTGTTTTCAGTAAATTAAATGAAAGGTATTTCAAAGTTCATGAATAACTACAAAATGTCTATAGTATTGAGCAACTATCTTGCTGTAATGGCATTTTGTAGTTGGTATTGTGGTAAACAGCAGCATGCAATAAACAGTGTGGTACAAGTGAAAAGAACAATATACCAATATGAAATATTTACCTTGTTTGGTGTTTGAGAAGTATTAGTTGTTTGACTAGTCATAATGTTGGATGTCATACCCATGTTATTACCTCCAACACCCATAGACATTGACATCATCCCTGGATTCATCATAGGCTACGGTGGGCAGAAAACAAATAAATGTTAAACTAAAAAGGATTTGACTAAAAACAGAGTTAGGAAGAAAAGGATCTTGAAATGATTCTTCTATTATAATGACAAAAACATTAAATTATTTGATCTTGAAAACCAACTTTAAAACAGACTTCTGGAAACAAGCAATTAAGTCAATGGTTTTTGAAACTGAAAGTAGAATATATTTAATTGAACACTAACCTGTTGCATACCACTCATCATTCCCATGTTACCCTGCATTGGCATTTGTCCTGCCATAGAAATACCAGTCCCAGCATTCATTCCACTCATCTACAATTCATATCATTTGAAATCAATGTAAATTAAGCATCACTTAAAGAGGGCATCTTTGTCTTCCTTCAGATATTTACTTTTACACAAAGGAGAAATCATAGAGCAGGACGGTTTGCTAAGCATGTTTAATTATACTTACCATGGGCATTCCCATATTCTGACCCATAGGCATTGTTTTGCCTGCCATTGGATTAATGACTGGAGAAGTCATGGGTACACCTCCCATTTGTGATTGCATCATTGGTCCTGCACTCATGTTTGACATCATTGGTTGGGAACCCATTATGGGCTGGGAACCCATTATTGGTTGTTGGGAACCCATCATGGGCTGTGTTGACATAGCAGGTGAGACACCCGCTGGTTGTAAAGGGGATGTCTGTCCACCCACCATGCCAAAAAGATCTGGCTGGTTATTGGATGGTGGTGGTGATGTAGGTGATGAGGCAGATTCAAATTTGGAAAAATCTGCAAAATTTTCTTGTGTACTGAAATAATAGATTGAATGAGAAGTTTAATCATTACTGCAAAAATATAACCAGATCAACAGCACTGATGAGAAACTTCAAACTTTACTTTCCTCATAAATCTACTTCTCTTATTGGTTGAAATGTTAATAGGCGACAGAAAATAAACGAACAATGATAGAAGGCAAGTTTCTGAATAGTACTAATCCAACTATCACTAACAGTACATTGTACTTACCCATTTGATGTAGGTGATGTTGTATTAAATTTAGTAAATTCACCAAATTCATTGGATGTGGGAGCTGAAAAATATCAAATTAACAAATCATTTAAGACCCCTAAAAGATGATTCACATTTTTTTTTTAAGATTACTGAGAAGTAGAATATTCTAGCTCCTGTTCAGATTTCTCTATTTTCAGGCAAACTGTCCTAACGGATACTATATGTACATGACCAGTATTGGCAGCAAGAAATGAACCTCTGCTATTAGTCTATCTATTTGTTCTTTATGATAAATACAGAAGACAATCAACAGTACTTACAATTAATGGTAGTACCTCTTGGATCAAAATCATCAACACTATTACTATTACTAGCAGACTGGAAATCAGCAAAGAAATCATTTGATGAGGCTTTACTCTGTCCAATATCTAGAAGATTTGGTGCTTCTCCTGCTGAACTTTGACTCTAAAAATTCATATAAGTTTTGATTAACATATGAGACAGCAAATATTATCAATACATCTGGACAATGGACCCAATTTTCTTCAATATCTTCTTCTCATATCTAAAGACTTTAATTAATTCAACCTATCAAAAACACTCGATGCCTCTCTACAACTACGATTATCACTTCGGTATTTCATTCAAACATTTCTGGTTGTACCCCAGAGAGATTTTGTAGCATGCAGTTTTTTTTCTGCTACCTGTATTGCTTATTTCAGAAACAAATAAATACTATTCCTACCTGAGCATCTGACTGTGCATAAGCAGAAGCAGCACCTAGGTCTAGAGATCTTTTTGAATCCCTAGTTGAACGTCTGTTGGTGGTTATTTTCTCTGTTCGTGTTGTGTGGGTACGTTCAACTGATGTATATTCTTCATCATCATCTTTAAATTCATTTTTAGGAGTTCTTCGATCATAATCTTCATCTTCTCTATTATTATCATATCTATCTACAGGTTCATCACTACAATCAATAGATCAGCCATTTTAAATATATTACATTAGAGCTATTAAACTCTTCTTTTATCCAATTCTCTTTCTGTCAAAAAAAAGTCCAGTCTGAGAAATTGAGTACTATCATACCTGTAGTCTGTCATATCCATTCCTTTTCTACCTCGAGCATTATTCCACAGTCCCTTCACCTTATCTAAAGCTTCACTAGCTACTGACTTCTTCTCATGATCCCAATCATCAATATCATCTAGTCTATTACGCCCACCAGAAGGCCGGGCTGCGGGTTCACTGTCATATCGATCACCTAAAAAATTTCAAGTCAAAGTCACAAGATTTCCATGGTTACCACAACATCTAACACAAAAATACAAGCAAGCCAGAACATTTTCAACAGAAACCAGTTTAAAGCATTCATAGCCAAAATTGGGTCGTAAAAATAGGTCAATTTTTTCAGAGCACAAATCATGCACATGCAAAATTTTACAGTAAAATTTAAATTCATGCAAATTATCATTCAATTTAAATATCAATTTTACTACTACAAACAACTAAATGGTTTAATTTTACTTTTGATTGATTTGTTTCTAAAAATGTACAAAAACATCGATCTAACAATTTTTTTTTTTAGCTACTTAACAACAATGAATATTGGTGTATTTATTTAAAGTATAAATTTTGAACAACTGGTTTCTGTGTTTGGTTCCTGTAACTCACCACTATTAGCCAATAGGCTTGCTGGTTTATGTGGTTCGTGAAGGTCACGACCTCTAGTGTTACGACTGTAGCTCGTGTCTGGTTCATCTTCTAAATATAGTAACAAACCACACATAGATATATATTGGTGAATGGAGGGTTTATACAAAGATTATGTTCATTGAAGGTTAATGATTTTAAACAAAAATAATTCTGTCTTCATCTTTGAATGCATGTTCCTTCTTAACAGTTGTTTGTGCTAATCAAAAATCTCTATAGTCTAAACTTTCTATCCTGATGAGGATTTTATACCTGAAACTCTCATAAATAAGAGGGTCACAGAGTAAATTTTGAACACAATCTTAGTATTTACCCAGTGATTAAATGTTGTTTGGTTATAAATTAGGATATAGTGTGAAAGCATATTGTTGATGAAGTGAAGTTAATTTCATGATTAGAATTCAATTAATGATATGCTAGTTTGTTTTGATGAATTCAGATATATAGTTTGAAAATAATCTAATAGCAACAAGTAAAGAGATAAAGTTTGAAATTAAAGTGATGATTTAACAGCAAATTTTCTAAAGATTTTGTAAGTGATATTCATATTGTGCCAAGCTACATGAAAGATGGGTGATATTAGATATATAAGGATAGTGGTAATCTAAAATGGATTATTAAAATAAATACCAATCTATACTTACTGTATGATCTATAGCCTATACTCTCTCCAGACATACCAATATATTTATCTTTATTTTTCTTGGATTTCTTTCGTTCTTCTCTCAATCTATCATCATCACCAATAAACTCTAATAATTCTTTTACTTTATGACGCACTGAAAGATCAACATTAATCTTGATAACACTTGATAACACTTGATGACACTGTCTTGATGTCAATGAATTTATCATGCAGCAAGTTATATACTGATTATTCATAACCATTTACTGCAGATTTGTCTGGAATGAGGACACTTCTACAAGCAGACCCAGATTAGAATCTCAACAACCACCATTTGGTTGACAGAGTTAAGTAAATGACTGTGAACATTATTTAACGATTGGCCAAAAAATTCAATTAGAAAATGTCAGGAGAATATGAATATCTTCCACTTTCAACACAGTAGAAGAATATGGATCCAAAGAATAATAAATTTGACAATGAAGTACTCACCATTTAACCCTTGATCTTTACCATGTTCATCTGTAAATGTGTAATTTTCTAACGCTCTTAAATCATATATATGTTCTCTAGAACTAGTTACAGCTCTCTCAGATCCATTTCTTATTAAATATGATAACAGGATCAGTGACTGAAAATAGATTCAATTATTACTAAGTAGGACGTAAAACTCCATTCATTTCATTTCATTTCAATTATTACTGATTTGAATTTGGAGTAAACTTTCAAAACCAGGACTCAAAGTGTTACACAAAATTATCCTGACCATCTTGTTTGGTACAATGGATTTCTGTGGTCTGAATGCTGAGAAATATTAAATTTTAGATAATCATTGGAAAGAACTGAACACTGAGCGAATGACTAAAAATGTTAACATAATATAGGGTAAAATGAGATTGGTATATCTATAAATATACAAACCTTATATACTCTTCTCCAATTCTTTTTATTTTCATGTAACATTCTCTTCCACAACATACCCATTACTTCTGGAAAGTTTTCATACTGATATGTATACTGAGCTATTTCATGCATCAATGTTCCATGTGGACCCCATGCATCATCATTTGTTGCTTCTCTTACTTTGGTTTCCACCTCAGAATAGTTCATAACCACATTGGTACTGTAAAACATACATAAACAAGTGAAATAGAGTTTTACATTCTATTTGGATGTGTATAAGGGAGTATTAATATGAAAGCTAAAACAACTTTTGATTTCTTATGACCCAATCTACAAGCTAATCCTTGGACAAACCACCAGGCTGGATGATGAGCTGATTGGATTACTAAGGGAATAACTTATTTGAGGTCATCAAACTCTTTCATGACTTAGATAAGAATCTATGATTACCATAATCTGTTTGTGTAAATTCACCGTGTGAATTATAGATTCCAAGAACTACAGCTGAGGTTATCCTCAAAATAAATATCACTTAGCATCATAGGATGAAAAGTCAAGATGCACTAGAGATATAACAGGGTTAGGTGAGCATTGACTGCTCTAAAAGTCTCACATATCAAATCTGATTGTAATGCAACTCAAATGCTAGCTTAGAGATATATACATTCCTAGGCCTATTGTTAACAAGTGGAATGCCAAATGGCATAATCCTGCTATGACCTGGCAGAATGAAAAAGTTTGTTGATTTGAAAAAAAAGGGGAGTGGTCCAAGATAACAACAGAATTATCTTCCTTTATGCTTATAGGGCATCTTCTGCTCTAAATCATGGTCGGCAGTAGTGACTGTAAATGGAGATAGGAGATTTGGGATAGTGTTGTTGGTGAGCCCCAACAACTTGAAAATAGACTTTTTTAGTAGGCCTAATGATTTATCTAAATCTATTCAGTTTTAGAATGAATGAACTGACATGAAATTTTAATAATATTATTGTTTGTTTGTATTACAGTCGAATTGTGACCATAAAGTACAAACAATAAAGTCACAGACAATGTTTATTTTAGAGATAATAAGACAGCTGTCAAAATTTGACAGAAAGTGCAACGTGTAAGGTGACAGCCAAAATTGGGTCAAATATCGGTACACTTCAAAGAGAATCTATGTGACAGAATTTCGAGACCGGTATATCTAGATAATTTAAAAACACCAACTTACACTTTATCGGTTAATTCTCTTATCTTCCACATTTTGAGATGGAATATTTATCTCAACCCCAAAGTAGAAATATATTCCTTATTCCCCCTACTTCGCCAGATGTTGACGGATTTAGATGCCTCCTAATATTCCGGAAATACGCTTATCCAGCAAAGATGGCGTCGTCACGTGACATGACAGCCTTGACCTTGTGGGAATTTCTAGTGGAATGTCAACAATGAAAAGTATGCCATGTCAAGCATATAAATAGAAAATGAATAATGTACTTCAGTGTAAGCTTATGTCATAAATGACCATACAATAATCACAAACTTCGGAATAGGCCTGAAAGGTCATGACAATAAGCCGAAAAGTAGTCAGAAGTAAAAGGTTTTTTGTCTTAAATTTTCAGACACACCCACAATGGCCAAAATTGCACTCGGGGACCTCCTCACAAAATGTTTTGTTGGCTAGACTTGACTGGTTGACACTTTGACTGTTATTCATCAAAATACATAGGATACAACAGGATAGGTTGAAAAAATAAAATGCTAAAAATTGAGTAGCTGTTTCCAGTAAAAAATGCATAGAGATATATACATGATGTCTTTTAATAGTATGTCTTAGTTTGGGCTTGTAAAAAAGCTGCATGGGTGCCGTGATAAAGTCACTCATGAGTAACAATGTAAAAAATTGTTTGATATATTTTTATTCAATATAATTGGTAATAGATTCACAATGTAGTTAAGTAACGAGGTAAAATAATATTAATACAGAAGATACAAAATGTTCTTAATAATATCTCATTTTTTTTGTACTGTGCATGCCAAATATCATATTAGTGAAGGCATAGTAGTATACAACCCATGACAATAGAATGTAAAAGCTAATTGAAAGAAGTCATGAGTCATGTAGACCTATCTGTCATGGCTTCTACCTATTAAACATGAACAGCATATAGATATTGGGGTTTCCCAACTGTTGGCAACCATTTACAGAGGGCCTGTGATCAGAGTTTTTAAGGACAGGTATTTTCAGTAGCCTGTAAATTGGGGTTCCAATGCAAATAGCAGATACCATTTTTTTTCTTTTTGGCTCCTTACACCATTGAGAGATAGAATTAAGAGTAGAATTCCATTAAAAAGCAAATAAAGTAAAGGCAGGATATATAATCGGCTACAAGTTGAATAATTAATTTCAATAAATGTTCTTTATCAAGCAATATAGAAAAATAAACTATTAACATGCTATTATACAATGTAATAGAAAACAGACAGTAGTGAGATATATACAATTAGCATTAATATGCTTAAAAAGGATTGTTCTAAGGGTTATTATTGTAGTATTGTTCTATATCGTCCAGAAAAGATGTTATATACCTTTTGGGACCTTTCAAACATAGAAAAGTCCATAATAGTAGAAATTTGAACTATTCCAACATTATGATGTGTTCATTACCACTGAAACTACCTCAAAAGAAAATGGACTGCTCTACCAAAAATGTGATCTTTGAATGAAAATAGTATTTATAGCACTACAGCAGGACCGATCTGAAATTGATCTATAATGTGGTTTGCGCAAGAAACATTTGGCTGGACTCAAAATTATTATCACAAAATCTTGGAAATGTTGGTGTCAATTTATTGCATGAATTATATAAAGTGCATAATATAATGTTCTTAAAAAATAATTGAAATACTATAATATCTTAAAATAATAATCTTAGCACTAATTAGTAATTAAGTAATGAAGGCTTGAACTAAATTACAGGCATTGTGAACCAACTCTCTAACCATTGTGTGTCTTCATGGTCTTTTTTTCAATTACAAATACTGAGCTTTTTATGTGCTCTTTCTATATCCAAGTGCTTCTATTTCAAAGCCCAATATTGATAAGGAGCTGAAGGCCTTCACAGACAAATGGCCAGCATTAGAAATCGAAATATTTGTGAAACAACAAACTGAATTACATTCAAAAGAACAAGTGGTATAGAAGAAGTAGTTAAATCTAATGAAATATGATTTCGGTGTTTGTGCGCATGAAATGAAAAAAAAATTGTTTAAATTAATTGCGCAGTTCACTTTTCATAACTAATTTTATAACAACGTAAACATTGAATCAGATACGAGAATCAAATTGCAAAAATTCTAACAATGACTTGATTTGTTTTAATGGGAACTGCTATAAAATAACCACATAGTATTGAAAGACATTGCTTTAAGGATTTTTAATGATTTTAGATACTAGGTTACCTAAATACAAACAAATGTGTTTCTATTAGTATTTGTTGAATAGTGATGAAAATAAAAATCTTAAAATAATTCAAAACAAAACAATCAGCTAAATATTACTAATATGTTATATTCCACTTTTTAATTAAAGCATCCTGGGCAACAGAGAGTAAAGTATGATCATCCAGCCACTCCACTCTGTTTATCTGACTGTTTGGATGGGCTGAAATAGGAACAATACATTCACTGTAAAGACCTCAAAAAGAAAAAATATCAAGAAAATTATTTGTTTGACAAAAGCTCATAGAATACTGTGGGCACATGTTTCAGATTTAAAATTCTCATCAATTACAACAAAACCTTGTCCAATCAAAATGATATTTTTGCAATGCCTCATTGTATCCAAACAACCTAAACAAATGATATTATTTGTCTGATGTGAGATAAATTTGAAGAATATACAAACACTCATGTATATTCAATGTAATTTGGGTTTACTTTAAGTGGTAAAAATTTTACAATTGATTTGATGTAATTTTCTGCACTCATATATAGAGTATCATACATGTAATTTTACCAATTTTAATTAACTAATTTATCAGAACACCAAAGCAATATTAAAAACAAACTGCCTTACATACCTCTGAATGATGTATTTTTTACAGGAAATGTGGCCTCTGCCTTCCAGATGAATATATGAGAATCGATACTGGCAGTAGCGAAATATTGACTATTTGGTGGCCATGCAACTGATGTAACACGAGATGTATGACCTGTACTATCTATCATAATCTAAAATCAAAATATAATAACACTCTGATTTTTTAAACTGTCAAATCCTCTCTGAGCACCTAAAACACTTAAAAATTTCAACCATTTTCAAGTTCACGGACTAAAATTGGTACTTGGGAATCATGCTAAACATTGCTGTATACCACCAAAATGATTGAATTTAATTGATAATAGAGTCAAGTTTACTATGCCTGTTAATATACTATAATAATATACTTACAGGGTAATTAGGTAATTGAAATAATTTTACACATTTGTCATCCATTGCACAAAGCAACATTTCTCCATCTGGTGAATATTTCATATCAGTTATCCCCCCTTGAACTTCCAGTTTTATTCTTTCATTTAGCGAACCATTTGATAAATCATAAATATGTAACTTGTGGTCCTAAAATTAATGAAAAACTACACTAATTACACAAGTAAAAGCTAGAAATAGTACACATGCTGGCAAATACGGGTGTAATGATAATACATCACATTAATACATATAGAAACATGTGACCATAAGTGTGTCCCATTAAACCATTGTGTTTCAGCAGTTGACAAAACTAGGCATAACAGACGAACATGCATACAACCACTATCTAATGCATAATTCAACACATACCAAGTCATTGGCACATACTCCTACTTTAAAGTCTACCACATAACATGAAATACTTACACTTAGACCACCAACAGCAACCTCTGTTAATTTGGGATGAATTGCAACACTTAAAGCTTCATAATTGATTTTAGTACTGGACACTTTCTTCTCTCCATCAAATACAGTTATCTAAATACATCAATAAAATACAGTTTATATTTCTTTATATCAAAATCTTGTAATTGACTTCCATGCAGTGGAAACTGGAGAATATACATGAAAACTTACATGACTAATACTGGCCACAATTGATATAGAACCACAGGAATCAACTGATTTAGGTTGGGAATCTAACTTAGTAACTGCTGATCTGAAACCAAAGAAAACTTTTATTACTATTGACCTTTATTATCTATTACTAATAAATTATATAACTGGGAAACAGAAACATGCTATACCTGCTAGTAATCTAAATAATGCCAGTGTTTTTAAGTTTTTGTACTAGACTTTAGTGCAACACTTTAACAGACATATACCAAACAAACAATAATAGCCAAGTGAACTCTTAACAAATTAAGTACTAGAGAGCAACATTGGGTGCTTGAAAAGAGAAGACATGTCCTGCCCTGATTGGAATAGTCATGGACTAAGAGCAGAAATTATAACTTTGGAAATCAGATTTTTTAGACTATACTAGACAAATTAAACTGTTCAAGAATTTACAATGTAGCCAAAATGTTTGGACAAAAATAATTACCCATATTTTTTCTCAGATGCAGATGAGAATCTAATAGTATCATCCATTCCAATAGTAACCAATGTATCATCGACTATCTTCATATCAGATACCTGATTACTATGACCTTTACCTTGCATCTCATCATCTACAAAACTTTCAGCATCCATATAATCTTAATATCGGTCGTTACGGAAATAGTATATTCAAACAAGAAATATTTTCAGATATCAAAACTGTAGAAACCTTGGCCCTTTTGAAATAATATTTTACATTTCATTTGCAAATTCATTTGCAAATTCATAATTTTACATGAAATTAAGAACTTTAAAAGGATACTGATATGACCATCAAAACTTCCAGTAAAAATAGTTGATTTATCACTTGATGCTGCTAAGGCCATGATAGATTTAGAATGTCCCTGAAAAATGTACAATCATCATTAATATATTCCATCATACCTTTGTGACAGGGCGATTGAAAGTAACAGGTTACTATTGAAGAGTATCAGTTTATAATTCAAGTTTATGGCTCTAGTATGCAGAACATTGAATCAAAGCTTGATATTCCATTAACACCTTGCAGGATTAAACACGTGTAAATAATATAACACTTGTTGTTAGTTAAAAGTGGAGGTAATAACAATATGAACAGGTAATTGAAATTAAGAAAAGATAAAATATAACATTAGTATTTGGCCTACCTTAATTATTCTTAATGGTTTATTTGGATTATTAACATCTAAATAATTAATATAACCAGATAGTGATACAGTTAAAATATGATTATTCTGCCATAAACACCCAACTTGCATATCATCTATCTGATCACCCATTACAAATTCACTGAAAATAAAAATATATTTCAATCGAATACTTTTTTTCTGTCCTACTTCTGTGGTTCCAGCATTCATTCATTCATTCCAGAATATTCATGAAATGATTATACTTCACTATAGCAAACATCGTTCGAGCTCAATGGAGTTTTTGGAATTACATCCTTGTCTACAAAGCTACTTACTTTACTACAGATCGAGACTCTAAATCCCAGATTTTAGCTGTTTTATCACCTGATACAGTTAATATTTGTCTACCATCTGGACTATAGGATATCTAGAATAATAGAATATGAGAATATCAATGAATTAACTTCAGAGGGTGGCTGTGGCATCAATATATAATTGATAGAGTAACCAAGTATTTCACATACAAGAAATAAACTTAATTGTCAAGGTTTTAGGCAGCGAAACATTGTGACACAATACCAATAGCTTTAATAAAATATATTGTACCATAAAATAAATACTAGACTTACACCATATACACCTCCTTTATGTGCTTTTTCTCCTAAAGATCCTACAGGTTCAGAGGTGCTACCATTAAACAGTAATACCTATATAATAAAAAATATATATCAACATATCATGATACAAGACATTTAACTTCAAGAATACCAATTGCTATTCTGAGATTAGGCTCATCAACTTGATATCTTTTTTGGAGATACTACATGCTAATAATTTGAGTATTATTTTTTATAAATAAGTATGAATAGTGCTTTCCAAAAATAATAACTTACAACTCCATCTGAACCTCCTGTGGCAAGAATTTCACCGTCAGGAGAAAATCTCACAGTCTGTACAAAGTTAGTATGTCCCTGTAATAAAAAGTATTAAAAGTGAATACCATTCATCAAAATCATATCGGTTATTAAGATCACTCTCATCCCAATTCATAGGCCATATTCAACAATGGAACCCTTTTAGGGCCACTGCTATCAATTCACCATAAGACTCAAATCAATCTATTTTGGTGAATAAATCTCACAAATGACATTTTGTACGATAAAAGACTGTATTTTGAAATCCATTAAACTACTTTTATGAAGGATTCTTGTCAATGCTGCTGTGTTTGCATAATATACTCTTAAAGCAAAGTTTTTGCTCTTCAATGCAAGATGTTACCAGTCATAAATTATATCAATATTGCTAATACGCTGTGTCAAGATCTCTTAAAAAAATAGCTTGACTTTTTGAAGATGTCATACACCAATGTATAATGCATAAAAAAACTTGATTTGAATAGCAACATTTCGTACTTTCATATTATTTTTTGCTTTAAATGGTGGGCCTTCGAAATAACCCACAGTAAAATCTTCAGATCCAGTGGCAATTCTAAATGGTCTAGTTTGTTTAAAATCTATAGAATTTACAGATTTATGATGATTGGTCAAGTTTCCAACTGAAGTACCAGTATCCCACATAAATACTTTCGAAAAACTGAAATAAACCAAAGAGAGAGATATAATTAAATTACGAATATCCATTTTCTTTTTACATCATTTAGCATTGTAAGGATGTGTGAGAAATATTCCCACAAGGTAGGGTTTGGATTTGAAAGAGTCTTTTGATCTGTTTAATAATTTGCATATCAAGAAGTGTACACATCTATTGTATTCTATTCAGTCTGTTTGATATAGAAAAAAAAACCCACTTACTCGCTACGTCCCTCCCCACAAATAGCTATTCTCTTACTATCAGGTGACCAGACCAGATCTTTAATAGCTCCACCCAACATCTCATACTCATATTTCAACATATGTTCTTTCTGAGTAGTATCCCAAATCCTAACCTTACCAGATATATCTGCAAATATATCAAATATGTAGCATAAGGTTGATATTAGCAGATCCATGTATACCAGTCTTTTTCCCCTTTAAGCAGGTACATGACATGTTGATTTTGCTCCATTTTCCAGATATGACCTGCATGGCAACTTAAATGTCTGAGACTCACAAGAGAATAATCATAGGTAAGCAATCTATACTATTAGTTTTATTTAGAACTAAAGTGTTCACTGAATGTAATGAACAGACTAAAACTTCAGATTAAAAAGGAAAATATAAATACCTCCAGAAGCAATATAAAATCCAGAAGGTGCATACTTGGCTATTTTTGCTTCTTTAGAATGTTCACTGTACACATCACAGATAGCTGGGTTCTAAAGCAAATTAAGGAACATTACTAGAATAAATATAAGTATTTGAATAGAGGTTAAATAAAAGAATAATATTTTCAGAATTAAACAATAGAAGAACAGTCAAATTGTTCCGGAGTTAAAATGACAATTGTACAGATGAGGAAAATAACTATCAGGTAAGAGTTGCTTTATATTTAAAGACAGAAATAGAGTTCAAATATCATCATGTCAAAAACTATTACTTACTTCGATATCTCTAATAATGACATGACATCCATTAGTATAGAGAAAATTCTTTCCTTTTGGATCACCATTGATAACGATAGGACGTCCACGAGTCGTTTTTGGAAGGCAAGCAAATGTACCCTCTGAAAAGAGATGAAATACCCCTTATTTCTATATCAGTGTGATTAAACAGCATTAGCTTGGTTGGTAGATGACAAGTTAACGTTCGCTTCCAGCGGATGCTGATATCGCAAACTAGGTAGTTGTTGGTAGTCGTAGTAGTTGGTAGTTGGATTGGATCAAATTGGATGATTCGGTGTTGTTGGTTTGGTTGTTGATTCTTCGTTAGATCTGGTCGGGTCGAATGACATGGCGGTGAAACTCGGCCCTGGATGGTGTGGCGTGAGTTACTCGGTCTCCTTCATTCAACAGCATTAGCAATGCCCATAACCAAATATAGCCTACCTAAAGGCATAATCAATTTAGACCCACTCTATGAATTTGATTCAGAAGTGATAGTTAATAAATTATCTATAAATTAATTGAGATTAATGAAGACAATGCACTATTTTATTTATTTGTACTGTTTCATTTATTTCAGAATTAGTGAGGAGTAAGATTTGTAACTTCCTCAAATTAAATAACTACCATATTCTTAACCATAGCATAGCAGGCTTAGCCTACAGAAGATCTATTCAGTAGATCTATTTCTGTGTTATGGCTCTTCATAGGGGACTAAGCATTGGGATAATAGGTAATCAACACTTGATTTGTTATCAGCTTAATCAACAATCACAAGCAACATAAAAGACGCTTAATATTTAAATTGAGTCCACCTCTCGCCTTAGGCTCAAGTTCAATCTTCCACCTTCTTCCTTGATCTTCATTTCTTCTTCCGTTTTTTAAATCTGAGTGAGAAACACACTGAAAACAAGAAAACATTGAAATTCACTTACTCAAACTGCTTTCTATTTTCGTTTTACTCATTGTCAATCGTCAATCAAAATTAAAACAGTAAAAGAAAACAAGCTGAAAACTTTGTAACAAGTTAGATGTTTATTTTATCGTCGAATTTCTTTAACCGGAAGTGAGTATAGTAAGCCGGCATTCGTCTAACGCATGCGTACATGACGTTATATCCAAATAAGGCAATGGTGCGGTCAGGTGCGTTAAAAAGGCGTTTTTAATACACGGTTAAAATGAAAAATGCAACACTATGGAACTGGTCGAAAATTCTATAATTATTTTTTTTTTAGATTATTTCTATTAAACATATAACAGTAATGTGCACGAATCACACTTAAAATATCAAAACACTTGAATTTAAAATTACCCCGGAAGCTAAATACGCCTCTATTGTATCTTTTAATAATTGATTGAATATGGTCCAGTTGTCTTTATATGGCAATGATTTCGAATTCTTTTGAATGATTTAAACAGTTGTATGTCCATTAGTAAATAACTAAAAATATATTTGGACAATATTCAGATATTATAAGAATAGAAAACAATGTATATCCAACCAAATCTGGAATCATAAAGAAGTCTTTCGACTTTCCTTCTTTGAAAATTTCATGTAATTGTAGACCTAGACCTGTCTTTGCATATTGGCATATGTCTGTCAGTTACATTCCTATAACACTTGCCTTTTTAAAAGGCACGTAAAATTTGCACCCGTTGACACCATGGAAAGTGAGTAAGGCAGTCGTGGTCAAAAGGTCCAGCTATGATAAGAAATGCATTTGATATAAATTAAGTTGTTTAGAGTAGGAAAGCCGAATATGTAAAACCAATTATGGAAAACGAAAATAAAAAAAACTAAGGAGAAGCATGTGTTTTAGATAAAAGACAAACATAATATTTCTGAAATCATTATCAATTCCTGTAGGTTCATGATTATTAAACCTTCACAGATATAATTAGAGATTTTAGTTTTTTACGTACCGGTACGTGTTTGATATCAATATCCGACACTTAGGGTACTCCTTCAATACAATACAAGCTTATGTAGATAATAAGGATTCAACATTTTCTATGGAAATGGGCCAATTATAAGATGACACAGAATTGTCAACAGGCACTTCATTTCCATGTAAAATGACAAGAAATTTGTTTCATTTAGTAGCTTCTGTGATACAAGAAGAGTGCATGGTTAAGAATATCGTGTCCAAACCACACCTCCATTCGTCATACATCCTCGAAGACCATGTCAAAACCCGTATTCGTGATACGATGGGTACAGATAAATGACATATTTTGGCTACTTCAAGTACAAGTATAAACGGTAAGCGAAAAATCACAAATGTATATGCATCAAAATAGGACCACATACGCGTTAACAAACTGCTTAAATTGATATTAAACAATTCAGTGGGAAATAACTCACAAATGGGTTGTCAAAGATTACAAATTTAATAAGAACTCATTTTTACGAAATCTGTCAGTATCTATTGCGTTTGCGTAGAATATAAAGTTTAACTAAGTAAACGAGAATTAGGAATCTTAAATTATATTAGAGCCTCCATAAATTGATTAATATATCTGAGTATAATCAATTACAAAGATAATCTCACAGATCTATTATTTTGAAGCTTTCTTGAACATTAAAGTTTGAATGGCTGATGATCGGTCTTATGATTCCTTCAAGTGATGAAGGCTACAACACAGATAACGGTAGTTAATCACTGCAGCTTACTATGACAGTTCACGGCTTTGATGGGTATATGATCGTTTCTCACTTTGTGATCTTGCGTTTTTGATCTTCCAGAAGGACTTTGGACTCTTAGTTGAATTCAAGTTGCACATGAATTATTAATATAATTTACCATAAAGAAAGGTTTTAACTTTTAATTCAATACATAAAATAACAAACATCTTATAACATTAATATTTACAACTGTAAGAGGACATCTAATTTATGTATCAAACTAACATGTTTAAAAATGTATGTATGTAGTAATGAGATTACCTTGGATTGAAAGTTCTCAGCACCAAGGTATAGTGTCTTTTTCAAGAATAGGATTATCATTCAATTCTTACATTAAAACTTATACTGATCTTAATGTTTTTAAATAAAAAATAACAATTAAGACTAAGATCCATTCAGCCTTTAGACATGCACACAACAGCTATCAGAATTTAACCAATGGTAAATGTTGTCTTCTCAGAAATTGTAAGCCTACATGAATTTATCCATTATGAATGTCTTTTTCTTTCCTTAATAAATGAATCTAATGAATCTAATCAAATGAATTCAATTATTTCAGAAACAGAAATCTATTCATGAATATATCTATTCAAGTAACACAAGTAAATCAATAATGAATGTGCATATTTCTGATACATGAATCTTTCCATAATAACACACCTATTTCAGATAAATTGATTTCTCATTTATGAATAAGCCTTTGTCACAAACATATATCTATCCATGATGAATATACTAATTTCAGAAAATCTGAATCTATCAATAATGAATACACTTATTTCAGATAGCTGAATCTATCCATAATGAGTAAACTTATTTCAGGAAACTGAATATATCCATAATGAATTTACTTAAATTAGAAAGTCGAATGATCCATAATGAATTTACTTATTTGAGAAAGCTGAATCTATACATAATGAATATTCCTAATTAAGTAAGCTGAATCTATCCATAATGACTGCACTAATTTCACAAAGCTGCATCTATCCATAATGAATATACTTATTAAAGAAAGCTGAACCTATCCATAATAAATACATCAATCCCTGTTGTGTTAATATGATGTAAATTTGCATGCATCTATTTAATTTTTAAGCTGTGTCTAGAATTACCTGTAACATCTAGAACTAGGAATGAAATGATATGAAATAACATTGTTTTTTTAACATAAATGATGAAGTTTGGTAAGAATGTTCTTGTTCAAAACAAGACAAGCTGCAGAATAGTTGGCCCTCGATTTGTTGTATATTCACATTAAAATGTTTGTGAAATACCATTTAACATTACAATAAGCTTTAAGATGTCCTGAATTATTTTAAACTGTATGTCCACATAATATTTAAAACAATTAAATAATATAAACTGTCCATTTGCAGTTTAAATCGTAAAATAGCACACAATATCATGCCCACATTCACTCTTCATGATATATACTCAATAACTAATTTACTTTGTACACTTTAACAGTTTGTAATGAATTAAATGGTAAATAGAATGCTCAGAATTTATTTGAATTTAAGACAACATCATACTGTGGTTGTGGAATGATCTATTTGTTGTTGTTGATGTTGTTGGTCTTCAACAGCAGGTGGAAGATCAGGAATTTCTGACTTTAATGTTATAGTTGGTGCCATTGCTACTTGAATATTTTGATGAAGACCATCACCTTGAATGTTACCCAAACTGGTTGTTACAGTTTGATAAACTGAAGCTGGTATTGTAACAAAACCTCCCACTGATGCATCTCCTGTTAAAATAAGTTGCCCATTCTGGTTTATAGTGGCTCCTGCTACCGTTGAAACCTGTTGCCCTTCTGCCATTTCTATACCAACTTGTTGTACAGTAGCAGTGCCATCTTCTGGTTGATTTGTCGCCACATCTGCCAGAGTCTGGACTGCTTGGGTTGCTTCCTGCTGTGTGTGACCTTGAACTGCATGGACAACAGTTGCTTGGGTACCATCAGGTAAGGTGACTACAGGATTACCATTGGGACCGGTTTCTATATGAATGATTGAGACAGTACCATCAGGATTGTTAATTGTCTGATACATGGTACTAGCATAATTCACTGTTGCAGCTTGCTGAACAGAATGATTGTCATTAAAAATGTTCAAAAGATCATCCCTTCCATGATGTTTGTAGCAATTTTTAACTATGGTTCGTAAAGCTTCCGTCCAGGACACCCGTTGTTTATCCTCATCTGTTCTAGCATCACTTCTAACATTAGCCCATGGTAGATCTATTGGCCACCAGACTGGTCTAAATTCAGGTTTACCCCAGCCAGGTTTACTTCTTCCAGTCGAGTATTTTAACATTTCAGGAATAAAATTTCGGAGTTGTGCCTGAGTCATTTTTTCAAGCTGTGTTGGAATTCCATCTAAAACCAAAGGAGGTAACTCGTGAAGCTGAGACGTTGTATCCATTCCTGTCTGTGGTGCTTCCTGTTGCAACATTGCCTCTAAATCACTCATGATTACTGATTTTGAGTTTCTCAAAACATTCTCTAAAGGTTGGGACCCGAAAACTTTAAAGGAACTATTTGAATTGGATGGTCTGCCAGGAGTACAACATAAAACAATAGCTTGCTGTCCAACTCTTGTTGTATACTCTTCTATTGTACTCCGTAATTTTCTTAAAAGACGTGTTTGTAGTCTCTTCCGTCTCGAGGGATTTGTTTCGAATTGGTGGGGATGACCTTTTCTACGTCCAGAGGCTATAGCTGTTGCAGCAGCAATTCCAACAGTTCCTGCAGCTGCAAGCTGAGCAGTTACTTCATCAGTAACTGCTCCATGAAGAAGTTCAGCTGCATCAAAAGTACTCTCAGGTGAGCTTGGATCACTCATTTCATCGCCCATCATTGAGGAATTCAATTGGGCAGTGTTCATGGTAATACTGTGGACATTCATTTTGATAAAACTATAAGTTTTTATATTTATTTTGTCTTGGTTGTTTAAACTGTTATCCAGTAAATCACATGTAAATTAATCAGGTCTATCAACACCTGTCACATTAAATTAAAACATTTATTATATATATTATTACCAAACTGACACATTAAGGTTTATAGTCTGTGACATTTTGGCACTGGAATGATTGAAGATCGTCTGCTTCTTGGCAAAAGGTTCCTTTGAAATACACAACACAAGCTATAAATGCACAGTTTAGAATTAAGTGAATAATTATCAGCAGATTGTTTCACTTGCACTTTCATAGCAACGAATTTCTTTCAACGTGGGATATCTGAGAAGTATCAAACTCTAGCCTTTGCAAACAATATAAATGGACCAAGCTTGTCACTCCAAATATCCGAAGTCAAAAAGCACTGGACCGGGTCACTGATCACTTTTATTTGCACAAAAAATCGTATAATTTCACAGTTTACGAATCACCAACACATGTATCTCATAAATCTGAAAATCTTGTGACAGGCAAAGTATTAGAAAGCACTGAAATATTATTCAAAACTAATTGCATTGAGAAGAAAATTAAATAATTCCTCTGTTTTTTTACGGCTTGGGCACACTTCAACGGCGGCCATTTGCATTCGTGAGACAAAGAACAACGCCACCACAGTAGTCATGCAAAGCCTGGATGAGCAAGACTAAGATTACAAATTTTCGCCAAATATCAAGATATATGATAATATTTTGCCTTATAAAATGTATTTGCATATATTTCATGCAAAGTATCAGATTTCAGTTTTAATTTGTTATCGTCAAGATAATAAAACCAATCCGATTTCGGATTTTAGACGAACTGATTGATCCAGATCGTTAATTTAGGCGATACTTCTAATCAAAACAAACAAGATGGCGTCCTCCATGTCAGAGGAATCTTCCTCACAACCGGTTGCAAAACCGAGAGAAAATGTTAGTCTGGCTTCATATTGATATCTTTTTCAATGCCTTGTGTAGTCTAGATATCAGGGCATGCTCTGACTATCTCTTGAACATTTTTGCCTTATATTTAAGCGCATGAAAGTGCTAAAATGTTTTTAATGGGCGTGTCAATGTTAGACCTGCCTGGGAACAAATTATGTCCTTACCTTAAACGTTAAAAGTCCTCACGTTCACCTGTTGCTTTTCCCTCGTCTTTGTAGCTGTTTTAGTTTCATGACATGGAAATTTCTTTGATGTTGTCACACCCACTGGAAATGTTATAACAATGAACTGATGTTAATAAGAATTACGCAATTTAAATGTCAAAGTGTGGGGCCATCAACAAGGCTGGCTTTCTTTGTTGAACTACAATGTGAATAATTCTGCTAATCCTCTGAATGTATAATTTAATTCTAATTTGATTGGCTTTTATTGTTTCAAACACCATTTTGACAGATCCTGATATTGGTTTGTTTGATATCTTTATCTTTCAGTCAAGTTTTTTGATGTCCATTGTGAGAACACTGTCATCTAGGTAAATATGTGCAGTATTTAGATAATTGTCATCTTTAACACATTTTACATGTGAGGGTGAATTGCCTTAAATATGCTAAATTCTTGAAACAATACTAGTTATTGCATAGATAGCATGATTAATTTAAAACAAGAAAACCAGAGTAAACACATACTCATAATGTTTCATTAAAACTGTTCTTGTTTCAGTGCTGATTTTGAACAAAGGGAAAAGGAGAAAACTAGAATTGAGAAGGCTTTTAAAGAAAGTGAAAAGAGACTTGGTGAATTAGTGACAGGTTAGACAACATTTTTTGCTTTTTTTGATTAATATTTCTTGAAGATACTTGTGATGGTCTTGGATAGAGATTGCATTATTGTCATCAACAAGCATGTTAATATACTTGATATAGAGAAGATAACAACACATCTACTAAATGCATGAATATTACGAATTCAATATAATTCAGAGAGTTTAGTTATAAAGACAATGAATTGTTTACTTTAGGAAATTATCAAGATGTAATTAAGGTGTTACAAGCTTTTAGTTCCATGACAAAAAGTATACATGGTAGGTAAATTCAAAGTTTTATTTTATTCTATTCAGTATTTTGTTGTAGATGTAGCTTGTGTTAGGGTGATATGAGAATAATTTCTCATAAAAAGCATGAGCTTAGATCATTTGATCAATAATTTGTGCATTACAAACTGTACATATAAATTTTTTTCTTGATGCCGCTTTCCTTGAACTTCGTTCTCATTGCGCTGGTCAAGTCAGATGTAAAAATCAAATTCTTACCTTTATTCCTTGTTTACTTTAGAGTCAAGAATTAAAATGAGAAAAATAAAAGATGATCTAAAGTCTTGTAAAACTTTATTACATTTTAAACGAGACGAACTCCGAAAATTATGGAAAGATGGTGTAGAACATAAAACAGTTTTAGCCATGTTAGATCAAGTGTAAGTCCTCTTATTGGTATATTCAAATATGAACTTGATATTATTTGCTTTTTGGGGGCAAAAATGCTGTTATTACTTCAAGCTGACCAAAATTTAGTCCTGATTGAAGAAAATTTGTCACATGCTTAAACCCACGTGTGAATAACAGTCTGCTCTTTTAATGAATAATCATTGAATTATCTTAATTTGTAACAAGATTGAATTGAGCTTTAATTTTGGAAGGTTTCTGAAGTTGCATGTAATTTAGTTTATCGAAAGGGTAATTTTGATTTTAGAGAACAAATGAGAGAGATACCTGATAAAATGGATACATTTGTTGCTAGTAAACATTATTTACATGCTACTGATATTATAGTAGGTGCAGGTAAGATTTCTTTAATCTTTATTACCTTTTAGATACCTGTTTCTTCCAGATCTCAAATATGTCGTTAGTGTGTGATTTAAAATTCCAAGATAATCTCTTTTGACATGTGTCTGGAACATGGGTTGACCTTGTTTATTTGCTTCTTATATTTTTGTACACCGTACTATGTCTATTTGCACCTTAAGTTTTTTTTTATTAATTTCAGTTGCCAAATTAGAAGGTCCTTTATCTGATGTTGAAGCATTAAGAGATTTGAAAGTGGAATTAGTCTCTAGAAAAGAGGTAATATTTGTTTATCATTTTAGTTTAGATGTGATATTTGAAATTGAAGATGATATTTTATATAAATGTGGTGTTTTGAATTAGATAAGTTGAAATTTTTACTGTTTTTATAAAATGATTGGTAATTTATTTGGTTTGTTGTAGAAACTTCATGAAATATTAATAGAAGAATTACATCATCAAATCTATGAGAGGTCTATAGAGATATATGGTAATAATAAACGTCAACGGAAAGACCATACATCATTATCTACTGTTACACCTATAACACCTGATAAATATAGACTGAATACAGGTAATGATTTACCAGTTGATCTACATGATGAGAACATAGTTATATCTGGTGATGTTACAGAAGATATTGATATTTGTTTACATTTATAGGTTATGATTTACCAGTTGATCTACATGATGAGAATATAGTTATATCTGGTGATGTTACAGAAGATATTGATATTTGTTTACATTTATAGGTTATGATTTACCAGTTGATCTACATGATGAGAATATAGTTATATCTGGTAATGTTACAGAAGATATTAATGTTGATCCTGAAGAAAGTCTCCCACATTTTATATCTATTTTGATAGAATCATTATCTGTTTTAAAACGTCTTCCTGATGCTATAGAGGTATGGGAGAATTCATCTTAACATTGATTTACTAATCATTTTTTATCTAATGGTTGACTTTATAATAAACAACTTATAGTCATGTCATATTTCATGATTTTTTGGCCTTCGGCTTTTGGATATATGAAAATCAGCAGATAATATGAGCAGTTTTAATCCAATTGAATGATCGAAGTGACGTAACTTTTTAAGTAGGTTTAAATCTTTAACAAGTAAAACTGTTTTTATTTTTTTCAGGCCATTAAAGTTAAAATGGAACCAGAATTGTTGAATTTAGTTGCTAAAACTTCACAGCAAGTTGTAGAAAAGTAAGAGTTATAGATTTAATTGTATTGTGATTAAACAAATGTAAATCCACGTTCCACGATCAAACGTACTTTAATCTCAGACGCAGGCATTCTAACCAGTTGTAAAGTTCACAGCTTACTGATGAAGATTTGAGCCTTTTGTGTGTTCACATAATTGCAATTTTATGTTGTTTCAGTGCCTGTCAACAAGGAGAAACATTAGCCTATCAGTCACAACCCAGATATTTACTGGAGTTTCTCCAGAATGTCTTCTCTCATTTCCGCTGTGTTGCCAGATTACATGAAATTATTCTGAAACATATTAACAGAATCAGTGTAAGTAAACTGATGTATTTCAAATGATTTTGCTTTTGTCGTTATTTTCTTACACCAAAAACTTGCTGAACCCTTTCTCAATATCTGTTATTTTGTGGCCAATTGCATTCTCTGTTCAAAGCGAGATTTTTCATAGTGAAACATTTTGTGTAGAAAAATAATTTATGACTGGATAGCAAAAAATCAAGCCAAGCTTTAGCAGTCAGCAAGCTTTTGACCATTTTCTTTTCACCTGCCAAATGAAGCCTTAAAAAAATAAACACTCAAATATTTGTCTTTCACAAGAACAAACTAATAGGTCTAGTTTACATTTTATAGTAATAGTGCTTAAATTTTTTCTGTCAGGGCATCTTGACCCTTGTCCTATACACAAGAGCACACACAATTTGTATATTCTAGCACAATATTTGTATTTGAGGATATGGTTGTCAAGATATTTGCCTTACCACATATATAAAAGCACAAATTCAGTACAGTGATAATTTTTGGAATTAAAGCTCTGAGAAAACTTACACAGTGTTCACTTCAAGGATGTTATTTACATTTTCATGATATTATCATTGGTCAGAACTTAACTGGTAGTTGAATATTAAAATGATACAAAAAGTTGAAATTGAGCTCGGTCAGCTGGTTATTGTATAGCAAATATATAGACAACTATATATCTCTGTCAAAACATTAATGTATTCTTAACTTCTTTGTTCAATTGTTGAATTTAAAGCAACAGAAACCCTAAGCACAAACTCAGAATCATCAGACTTAGTTCCTTTAAAAATTTTCTGCTATAGATTTGTAATATTTGTACATACATTAGACTGAATTATGAATATTACCTCGTTTAGACTGAGAAAGTGGAGATTGAGGTATATTACTACAAGTTTATTGGGTTATATAGTTTCTATTGTCATGTGCATGAATCTTGTTTCGTTGGTGAACTTGTTCTACCTGATGGTTTAAAGCTTTTGTTGCCATTAATGCCTTCAATAATGATGTGATGCTTCAATTTTTTGAGTGGCATTAAGTTATCAGTAAATAATAATATCATTTTATGGGCAAATAGTTAATCAACTTGTTATTGTTATCCATGATATTGTGTCCATTTGTTATCCTTTAATGTGTCCCTTGACCTAATGGAAATATTGAGTTTGATTTAATGTCAAATCCATAATAAATGTAACTTCCTTAGAAAAAACTACAAGATTGTTTCAAGAATCTGCATGTCTGACATACTGCATTATCTGGTAGAGTTTTTTAAAAATAAAGTTGAGATTGATATTAACTGCATCATAAGCTCTCATAAATATTCCAAGACAATGGACCAATCTTTGGGATATTGGTCAAGAATAGATTTAATTTAAACTAGCAACCAAGTAGGCTGAAGATCAATATTCTGAGGCAGTTTGATAAAAGTAGTCAGTAGGCCATCAGTTGTAATTTCTCTTTTCATTCAGTCCTCCAAGGCTGTGATAGAGATATTAGGCTAGGTGTCTGTTTCATTTGGTTATCCTTATTCATCTTATATTTTCTCTTTCTGTTCAAGCATGAAGTTCCTTGATATGTTATTTTAAAGTTTATTTTCAATTGCATGAATTCTTGTTTTCCGCCAGTTCTTAATGTCTTTTAGTGCCTGTGCCAAATTTTGTATAAGGTATATATATTAAGTTGGATGGTTCTTCTTAGGTTGCAAACTTAACAGTCTTGAAGTAATTAAAAGAGGATGAGATATGTTGGATGATGTGCTTTAGGTTAACAAGAATTAGTAGAGAGCTTCTTATTACCATTATAATACTCTGATGACTGTCCATTGCAGTCAGTCTGATACTTGAGCATTAAGCAAGGAAGTTGATTTGACTGCTTAGACTGCACAATTTATGCATACTGAAAGTTTTGATTTTAACCTTTCTCTAATATCTCATAGTAAAGCTATAAAAATGGGAATACTACCAGAAACAATCTCAAATTCTAATATTTTTCACTCTGTGATGTCAATAATAATGCTGAAGACCACTGCATGAATATCAAAAACCATTGATTAAAAGTCAAAATCAAATGTATATGGCAAGTTAAATATAAAAAGTACAACAATAAATCTGTATGGAAAGAGATGTGTTTAGCCAATTATATTGCTGTCATTATTTAGAAAAAATGTTTAATTATTTTTTTTTTGCCAAAAACATTGATCTGGGCTTAACCTAGACTTTCATATATATATTTTATTTGTACAGCAATCTGGTATGCCTATAAGATCTGTATTGATGTATGATATGAAAGATGTCTGGTCTAAAATACAAGCTGTGGTAGGTGTTATATTTATATATCAAATAATCATTATTAACTATGTAGACATACTGAATAGATAACATAGTTTGTATATCAACTACCACCTTATCTGGCAAATATTCTTCCCATAGGTTACTTAAACATTTTTCAAAATGACATATATAATCTGTGTGTAATTTTAACAGATAATGATCTAAGTGCACCACAGTGAGGTCCTGAGATGGAAATTCATTAATTGCATAATGAAATGAAATGGAGTTCATAATGAGATATCTGTCTACTGACTCTTCTACATGACCTCAGCAAATCTATTATACAACATCTCAACCAACAACCACCATGCTAGTTATTGTACAATACTCATTAATGATTTCTAGTCTGTTTTATTTTGTGTCTTCTATTTATTATCATTATTAGCTACAAGTCTTATTGAGTGAATATTTAGATGTACAGAATACTCTTTCAACCAATCAACAATCAACTTCAGCTTTTGATGAGCCTAGTACAGATATTAAACATTATTTTAGTAAGAAAAGGATGCCCAAACCTAAAAAGGTAAGGAAGGTTACAGTTAGAGAAATATGATTCAGTTTATTGTAATGTAATTGTATATATTTTTTTTTATTATGTAATTAGATGTTGACTGAGCATGGGGCAAAATTCATCATTTCATGATGGAAATACTGCAGTAGACTAATGATAGAGTAATTTGTATGTAATTTGGTATTTTATATTCTTCCATATTCTTTTCTAAAATTTAATGGTTGATATTATTTTCTAGTTATCACTGTTTAGATTTGATGCGTCTCTACAAGCTTTAAGTACTAATAGTTATATTGATGATAATAGACAATTTGATACAGTAAGTACAAAATCATATAACATTGATATATTTAATGATATTTTCACTTCCATTGAGAGAAGATTATATTCACCGGTCGAGATGTAGACAAATCTTGTATTAGATTAAGTTTGTACCTAAATATAGAATAAAGAATAACCCACCAAGTCTAAATTAGATTCACGGTTTTGATTGATGAAAATATATTCTTTTTGCCTATAAAATCTCGTGTGCAGCTGTTTGCAGATGACTTAAACAAAGTATGCCACCATTTTCCATTGAACAGACTCTTTCAGTTTCAGTTGTCATTAGATTTATCATGTGTCTATCAAGTTAAATTGATGATATATAAACAATTATTTTACAGATTGAATATTTAGGAGAGCCTGGTTTATTAGCTGGTATGTCTAAACATCAGTTTGTTTGTAAACCATCAGCTAATAATATAACTACCATCTATAAACCATTGAAAAAATTTATTAAAGAAATAGAAAAAGCTATGGAATGTCCTGCCAGGTAATTCATCATTTTCATTATTTTGAATACAGGCATCAATATAATGGCAACCTATATGATCTACGTAATATCTACAATGTACCTTGAACATAATTTCTACTGTCATATATTATTTCCAGTCTACAAGAGTTTGTTGGTGAATTTTTACAGAAGGCGTTTTTAGGCCAGGTTCATCAAAGAGTATCAAAATCAATAGATGCAGCTACACGAGGTAGGTGTTTACAGTAATTGCCTCAGAACACACACTCATTTGTTAATGTTATCTGTAAAAAGATTCATATTTGTAACATTCTGTGGTTCAGATAATTTCAGAAAACTTGAAAAGATTACTAAATCAAAAACCATTTAAGATAAGTGACTTCTTAAGGTGGTCAAGTTTCTTGACTTTTAGAAGCAAATATCACCTGTTTTATTAACAGGGGACCATTTGAGCGCCCCGGCATCCCTTTCTGGATTTTAGAGGGCACCATGTTCCCCTAAATACTCCACTGCCTGTGGACCATGATACACGTTTTGACAAATTCTAATTACAAAATTGTGTCGTTTGCTGATCAGTGGATGAACATGATGATCATAAATGTAAGTTTAGGATTGGTTGGTTAGTTATTGTAACAGTTTATTGTCAAATTGGTTATTTCAATTTAATTTTTATATTTTCAAAGTTGAATGTTTTTAAGTGTTGAAATCCAACTTGTTAAAAATAATTGTATTGTTTAAATTTTAATGAAATTCTCACAAAGACTCTTCATGTCCAGATATGACTTGAGAGAACATTGGAGTAAATCTATGCATGTATCCACTTATAGTCATAGCGCAAAATATATGCAATCATGGACACTTTAAGACATATGCATTGCAAAAACAGTATCCCTTGCAGAGATAAATATTAGTGAATAGACTTTACTTAAGAAAGTTTTCTTGATAACATAGATATAGTAGACTTTATTAGATAATCTTAATTTTATAAAGTTACTTGAGTAAGTTAGTATATAGTGTTGCTGCATGATGGTAATTAAATCAAAATGAGTATTCTTGTGGAACAAAGCTATTTTTGCTTTGATTCAAAACATACACGAACAATCTACTTTATGTCTAGGTAGTCTAGGTTGTTGAGTTACAATTTCTATTTATTCTACCTACAAATAAAGTGAACTGTTCATTATTATGATTTTTGAATTGGACCTCAATGTGCAAAATGATCTTCACTTGACTATAGTGTGTATTGAAGTTAGGAGTAATCAGAAGAGTTGTCTATAAATGGTTATATATTGAATATTGTAAAGTTGTTTAACATTGTGTTAAGTTATAAAATCATTTGTGCATGATTGGATTTTATATTAATTCAGCTTTGATCCCATTGATGTATCTACATTGTGTTTTCTTCTCATTTTCTTAAAATGGAGATCGATTTTATTGCTTGATTAAAAATTTTGTAATTGTTTTAAATGTTTTATGGAGAAAAGTTTTTAATTGCAAATGTTTGCATGATAAATTATTTTGTTTAGAATACCAAGGTTATTTATATATTTTCATCATTTATTACCCATGTTGCTGTTTGTCCCTAAAATACAAAACAAAATGAATATGATTAATTCTTTTACTTATATTACATTGTATTTTGTGTGTCTGATAAGGGATAGAGGGTAGTTGTATCACATTTAACTATTGTATTATCATGCTATGTTCATGGCTGATAGACTTGGTTTCTGAATCCATTCCACACTAATTTTTCTGAGGCAATTTTGACAGTAATTATCAGATTATTGGTACCAACAATGCTTGTTTTCCTGAAATGAACAAGGAATCTGACTTATTCACTGACATATATAATAATTTTTCTAACAGGTTTTGATGCATTACGTCATGTTATTGATGAGAAGAATCGTAGAGAATTAGGAGTGCCAAGACCATTGTTACAGGTACATCATATAATAACTTCAGACCTACCTATACCCCATTAAAACTTGGATTGGCATATTATTATTATAACTAACATCTTTTAATATACTAAGATATTACCAAGTTTTAAAACTAGCTGTCCTGATGAGGATTTGTGTTTCTGCAACATCAAAATCATTCATTCATCAATCATCTAGACAATTAAAATCACAGTTAAATCTAAAAAGTTAATTTTAGAAAATTTTATTATTAAATTAAATTGTTTATGAACAGAGTACGGTTACAGTAGAGAGAAATATACAAGAACTACGAGAATTAATGCAAGATTTACCTGATTGTTCAGAGAGGTTTTTAAATATGATTTGTAATGTATTAGGTGACTATAGAGATAAATGTCATTCAGCTTATAGAGGTAATTTGTGCACTATTTATTGCAATAAGCCTTCTGTTGGTCAAAGGTTGGAATTAGATTTCAATGGTCATTTGCATGTGAATTTAATTTTTACAAAAGTTCATAAAACAGGATTTATGATTTTCTCCCAACGGCCAATAATATATTCATTTTTATTAATATTCAAAGTAAATTTTTTTTTTTACATTTATATTATGTTTTCGATATTTCTGATTTGATAGATATTGTACAACATGGATCTGATGAAAAAAGAGTGATATCTGCTATGTGGGCTAAAGATGAAGATATCAGTAGATTCTTGAGGTATGGTTTTCTACCACATTATTTTGTTTATTTTTTTTGCACTTGCCATCCATGATCTGGCCAAATTGTTATGCATCTCCTGTTCTGGGTCATATAATATTCAACCAATCAAATTCTGTGTTCATTTAAAATAGTTTTGAAAGTGTTATTAATTGGTTCGCATAATAATGACCACTTTTAAAGCTTTTGGGTAAAACTTACTCAGAACACAATTTAGTGAAGAATCTTATCAGATCAGGGATGGTAAGTGAATTAACCAGCAACAAAAACATAAACTTGATCTAGATCTGCAGTTTAATTTTGTTTGTACCGGTATTTGTAGATCTTTACCTGGCTGGAGAACATTACAACCTGGAGAGGGTCAAGAGCTAGATAGAACTGTATGTTCTGAGGATGAGATGAGAGCTTTGAATTCTAAAGAAGCTGTTATATTAATAACTAATTTATCCTCTGATGAAAATCTCATACCACAAAATGAAATTATAACTGATATAACTCAAATGAGAACTGTAGCTAATGTTCATGAGAGTTTGGTATGTATACTTTAAATAGTCAAACTAGAGTGCTCAGGTTACAGTCAAATAGAAACCAAACAGTGTGGTCCAAATGAAATCTCTTACAAATTAAATTAGACCCACATTTTGAGAAGGGTGCAAAATTAACTATTTAGATATTTATTCCATACTGGTATTTCCTGTAGATTTTATAGTCAATATCCTTCAGCATAATTTCTATATGTTATCTATGTTGATGTATTTCAGGAATGGTTTGCTGGTGGTTTAAGACAATTTGTATCAACATTAAAATCTAAATCTAGTGGAGATCAAAGTATTTCTTCTACTGTAAGTACTGTTTGAAATTAGTTATCTTATTTTACACCTAGTAACATTCAAGTTAATTTTTAGAAGCTTCTGGTTGTTTTCTGATCTTGATGATATTATGCAAATTGTCTTAAATATTTATCTAAAAGATACTCAAGATGTTTTAATTTGAAGCTTCAGAAATTGAAAAGGTTGTTTCAATAAAAAGATTACTATTGGCAAGAGTTCATATCCTGGTTCTCTATTGTAGGACATCCCACCAGTTGAAGACAAAATATTACAGTAAGTTTCTATTATTACATGATTCTACCATCTTTAATATGCTAAACAGTACTCCAGTAGCTCCTCCCACTACGATAATATGATATTGAGTTCCATTATAAACTCCATTATAAACTACACTTGATTGACAGCTGAATGTTTCAACTTCAAGGGAGGTAATTTAGGAGAGAAAAAAATAAACTACTAGATATAGGTCAAACACACTTCAAGGGAGGTTATGGGGTGAAATATTACAGTTTTCTGGATATAAGATCGTTTTTTACAGTAGATTATATTAACAAAATCAAAACTTTTATTTATGTAGTTCAGAAACCTCCAAAAAATACTTCAAGAGGGTCATTTTAAAAATTTAACAATGTTTTGATAAATATAGGTCAGAATTATTGTGCTTATATTAAGGGACATAACTATGTTTCAATTTATAAATGTAAATCAAAGACAATTGTTATTAGAGAATAGAACATATAACGGATGGTTAATTAAACACTTATAAGAGGTAATTAAGGGATTATCAGATTATCGGGTTGGTCATCAAGTAATTGTAATGACAAGCAGTGATTGATGGCTTTATATTTCATCAGAGAGATGCCATTCTGTTTTCATTTGGAGGACATTGACTGACATGTAATTTGGCTAACCTATACTTGATGTCCGATTTCAGCTTCCCCGTCGGTCATGTCTGGTATGTAGAGCCAAATCAACAGCCCCGATTCCATCTATTGTATTCCATCTTGAAACAACTGTAACTTCTGCATATATTATTGACAGAATCATCCTCTTAAAAATCTTTCACACAAAGTATATTAACTCACTGAGACCTATAATTAATACCAGCAGAACATTGATTTGTAAGATTAATAATGATATTTGTAACAAACAAAAAATACAAATTTGTTATTATTGTTTTTCAGATCATTAAGTAAACTTGTTCAAGATTTCCAAGATTTAGCTGAGATTTGTTTATTATTGTTACATTTAGAAGTTCGTGTACATTGTTTTTATTATTTATTACCTGTCGCTAAACAAGTAAGTTTCTATCTAGATTAATATTTATACCTGATTCATCTCTTTCTCTTCAGAATCATAATCAGAATCTTCAAACTTAAAACACGAAAGAACTAAGCAACAAATATAGTTCAGCAAGATATTTTTACACTGGTTCCCTTTTAAAACATGGACACTAACAGTTCATCTTATTTAAGTAACAATAAACACAATATAAGTCTATTATAAGTTGTTGTTTTTGATGTTTGTTGATACACAGTTCAGAATCGCCAGTACAGTAACTAGGCTGTCTTCAAGTGAACATTATTATAAGATTTATTTAATTTATTCAATATTTCAGTCTAACTATGCTGGACCTATAGATGATTTAGATCCTGATTCTAATGTATTAAAATTAAATAAAGATCTTACTAGTATGGAGGAAGTATTAGCCCAGAGTTTACAACCTAAAAAATTCAAGTAGGTATTCTCTATTTCATATTTAAACAAAAACAATAGTCTAAATATTTTCTATTCCCTTATGAAACACTTTGCCTCCACCTATCTGTATCACATTGTAGAATTGCTATTTGATTCCTGGTTCATCTGCAAACAAATGCAGACCATTATTAACATTCCCATCTGATTTGATATTTCTTCTTAATTTAATTTTTTAACAGCAAAATTATCTGATGTTTTTGGACTCTAATTTTGTATATTTTATGTAGGTATATATTTGAGAGTCTAGGATATCTTGTAGCTTCTATACTTATTAACAGTATTCAATTCTTAAAGAAGATTAATGAAAATGGGATCAAGAAAATGTAAGTATATGTAATTCTCTCAGACAAAATCCTAAATTATAAATACCAAAATTAAAACATTTTTATATACCACACTTGGTAAGTATGTATATTGTTGAGACACTGCCTTATCTAAAAGTTTCACTGAACTGGACAGGTTATCTTGTAAAGTTAAAAGATATAATATTGTTGATATTTTAGGTGTAGGAATATCCTAGCTATTCAACAGAATCTAACCAATATAACTTTAACAAGAGAGGCTGATTTAGATAGAGCTCGACATTTTTATGAACAATTATATCTTTCACCAGACGTAAGTATTTATAAATATCTTTAGTAATCTAACAAGTAATGTAACAAGAGTAAGCTCGTGCCATTTTCAGGCAAGATGGCAAAAAAAATAAAAACATATGAAACTCCATATCATATCGTCCTAACATCATGTACACTAAGAGGGTATTTTAGAAGTAAATGAATTCAATATTACTTGATATTTGTAGGATATTTTGTCATCAGTAGTAGAGAAAGGACCACAGTTTACTGGTATAGAATATAGTCAATTAATACAGTTATATCATAGAAGTCATCCTGCTATATCAGCTTCTACACAAGATAAACATTTACAACGTCTTAATGAAGTCATGGAAAAAGGACAGAATGAAACAGTGTAATAATGCTTAAATAACAGACTTCTGATATACACATTAGGGCCTGCTGGCTTTAGTTAAGCTTGGACAGTTTGGTTCTTGTTATCAAGAGAGTCATAGTAAACATCACTAGGATCAAATGCATATACGGTTATTATTTATGTAAAATATATTTGATATAACCAATATATGTATGTTCTGTGCAATACTCGTTGTTATGTATCAATCATTCCTTATATTTCCTATGACAATACATCTTTTCTTTTCCTATTTATGTACACTGCATCGTACACTTGTATCTTCACCGTTAAATTATCTTGTTGCCAATGTTGCCATAGGATTAAAAATTATGTAAAAAACCGTTATAATGCATTGTTACTGTGTATTTATAAGTGTTATTTTAACATGTTGTATAATATGTGATACTGATACAATGATTAAATTGCTAAACATTCTGTATAGTCTGATGTTAAAATCTTACGACAACTGTACAGATTCTGGACCAAGCGCTGATGGTAGCAGAATTGGTAACATTGACGGCTTTATTTAGACTTCCTTAAAACAAAGAAGATCTGACTTTTGTCTGGATTGGAAAGCTTATGATGGAATTTTAATTCGCATTATGTTGATGTCACACTTCCTACGTCACAGCTCCTTCTCCGACACCTGCAAAATGGCGTTGTATAGCGTGGGACTATAAATGCAGTAGAAATGCTAGATACTGAATCTTACCTCTTGTTTTGTTGTTGTTTTGTTTTGCTGTATGGATGTGAGAATAGACGAGATACGGTACAGTAGAAATAGAATCAGCGAATAAACTAGGTACGGTTCTAGACACGATGCGGAAGATTTGCTTCTCCTTATTTTCTGTTGATAACCCCACACCCTACACCTACGTACCTTCAGTCCACACTTGGTATAGTACCTACCTTGTCTATGCACACATTTGCTGTGAATCCAAGTGCGTTCATGTTTATATTCATATCGACGCAGTTTTTTGTGACCAGTGGCCCATCTAGAAAACGCCTAACGGGAGGGGGTGGGGAAGCAAAAATAAGAGGTGTCTTAAAAGCCTTTTGAGGCTCGGTAGATTTCAGATAGCCTGAGATGAATGTAGAGCATTTTGAGGGCTTAATTTTCATCTCAAAATAAGACGTTTTACAGTTCAAGAATTGTGAGACAGTTATCATATGAATGCCCTGTATATATTTAATAGTGTGGTGATTGAGTTTCAACCGAAACAATGTCAAAGTCACGTTTTGTACTGGTTAAAACTATGTCCTTTCATTTTAACAATATATATAACTTACTAGTCATTACCTACAACAATATAATAGAACCCAATCATTAACTATTATTTCGTTTTTAGCACAAAATGTCCATTTTCAATACATTTCTAACTGATCGTGTCCATGCGGAAGTTCTAGGCGTTTTTACAAGTTCGTTTTCTTTTTGTGCGTCATTTACGCACAGGTTTTGGTTAAAGAGCATTTTGGCAAGTGATATCCGAACTCTATGGCAGTGTTATGATGGGATTTAGAAGGTCAATTTCTGGATGTTGAATTAGATGATCTCTATTACCATGACTCCATTGATAGTGCTTCTTGTTAGTTTTCTCGGCACTTCTGCTGCTCATGGATCAGAACTAGGAAACTCCGGTGTGGAATCAAGGTTTGTATTAAATCCTCAGCCTGCATCACCACAATTTGTTAATTCCATACTGGAACTTCTAAGCCGACTGCCCTTCAACCTGTACAACAACTATATCTGTAATGTGTACGCCGATGTTTATTCTGCTCCTTATTTTCATGGGTACCCGTATACCTATTATTACTACAGTAGAGGCAGGCGTGAGGCGTACAGCACGTACGAGTTGTATCAATACAGTCAAACAGTGAAAGGAACATTCAAGATCCTATCTTCCTACTGGAGCCACAAAGAATTTAAGAGTTTATATGATGAAGTCCGGGAGATAGCTACTGATATCATGTCCAGAAGAGATCAGAAAGGACCCACCGTTGCTGAAACTACAAGACGAGTCCTAAAGAATTACTTATCCAGAAATAAAGTTTCTATGAATGTAGATAATGTTCACAGTGCTATCGTTAAAATAAATACAACACCAAAAAGGATCTTCCAATCTTCTGTCAACTATTTTGTAAGAAGCTGTAAGTAATAGTCTGAAATAACATTAGTAGTAAAAGTCACCTACGTACCAGTCTATGCTAGGCATTTCTGTTTCTAACAGGACGTCTAAATTTATACAATCCGCACAAAATTTTATTCGACAGAGGTCTTCGAACCACTGTAATTGATCTGCCATATTTGATGTTCATTTATTACAGATCAGTACTACAGAATGACGTATTAAGAGAAAGAAAATGTCTCAAATCACTGAAAAGCCTAGACCGTCCCACTTATTCGTTATTCATAACGGTTCCTACCAAAATTTCCCTCAATTCCATTATATCGTCTTCACCTACATGCTGATGGATTGTCATTCCCGTTGTAAGTTCTTAATTTTAATACTTTTCAGCATGTAGTGCTGTAAGGAGTAACTCGCATTGTAATTATGTACGACATATGACTACTTCCGGTCTATGTAGTACAGTCTACTTTAGTAACCTAATGTTTAACCAATGTTGTGAGGGTAACACAACTACCGGGGGTGTAACGGCAACATTAACTACTACAGCTACTTCTACCTCCAGCACAACTACTACCACTACTACTATTAGCAGCAGTGATTCCTCTACAGCTTCTACTAAAGGTAAGGAACCGCGTTTGCTCAATGAGGTAAACGCTTGTTTGATAGGGTGAGATAATACCTTCATTTCATTTCCACTTAAGGTAACCGATTCTGTTAGGAATCCAACCGTTACAACACTCGAACCAACTACATCTATTAGGTTTTCAGAAACTATTTCTATCTTTATTGCTCTCGAGTAAAATATTTTACGTTTAAGAAGTTTTTAAACATTTTGCAAAAAAAAAATGCTCCTGTTACTGTTGTTTGTTTCTTAAAAAATATGCTTATATAATTACTGAATTGGTCCGCTACTACTTTTGATGCATCTTTATTTAAGAGTGTGGTATAAGTAAACTAAACCCCGCAGTGCGAGTTGGTGGTCGACTAAAAGCTTCAGCGAGATTTTTAACCTTCCTGACAATGATGAATGAATTAAGGATTGTGGGAGGGGTACCCACAGATAAATGTGAATATCCATGGGTTGTACGACTACAAGTTGACCAATCTATCTGTGCTGGTTCTATTATAGACGAAACTCATATACTTACTGCTGGACATTGCTTTGGGTAAGACTGGTAGTTTGATATAAGAGTTATTTTCTATTAGCCTACAGTAGGTTCATTCAGTTCTGTGGCGGCTAATTTTGCGTGAGGAATTGTTATTTCAATGTTTGAAGACAGTCGTGACAGACAGTCGAGTATAGAGTTGTTGGACAGCCATGGACACAAACTACATTCCTCTAGGTGCCGTGTCTTTATTGTTGCATTATGAGTAAATCAATTGCATATTTGGAAATTGAATCATGGCTAATGGAAGTATTGCTATTTCAGAGCTAACACTAAACTAAGCGGTGTAACAGTATATGCTGGTGATCATAATTATGATATTAAAGATACAGACGAAGTAGAGGTTCCTGTATCGAAGATTGATATTCATCCTCTATATAAAGATCTACCAGATGGAACTGTCGGTAGGTAACTACTATCTCTAAATGGATAAGAAAATGCACCTCCTCATAAAAGATATGCGGGGACCGAAAGCGTTCAAGTGTTGATTTTAATAGAAACTAAATAGTTGCTAGAAGAAAAAAATATTTGTAACAAAGAACAGTCAGATCCGTTAACTGAAGTATGTGATCAAAATGTTATAAACATTGAAGGCAGACTTCTATATGACCAGATACCATCTGTAGTATATCAGCTGTATTTGAAAACCGTACCGACAAAATATAAAAACGAACCTTTGTGGTGTGATGTATCTCAAGCAACTTTTTATCTATTTAAAATCTATCCCTTAAAATATATATAAGTTAGTAATGTTGAATTCTTAATGAATTCTACGTTTATATTTTATCACAGTTTATGATATGGCAATGTTAACACTGAGTAAGCCCCTGACGTTCAATGACTGTATTGGACCGGTATGTTTACCCAATGCTGGTGATAGTTCTAAACTTGATAACACAGACTGTACTGTGGCTGGTTGGGGAACAACATCATGTAAGTAAACAATTTCTGTTTTGACCTGGTCTAGTTTTAAATTGAAATGTCGCACACACATGCGCAACTGGACTAAATAGGCAAGGTTGCTCGGTTAAGTACATTGACAAATCAATGCTCATGAGGAAATCAAATGAGTATGCAAACCTCTAGATAGCATAGTGGTACCCCGCGCTCATAAGCCAAAATCAGGAACAGAGCAGTTACTCGCAAAATTCTTGTATAAAAGTACTCTATATTTATTTTAGTTGGTGGATCTCCATCACCCGTCCTTCAAGAGGTTACAGTACCAACTTACAGTGGTTTAAAATGTAAAGATGCATATAATGCCTCTTTACCTTCCAATACAGCTGTTCAGATTTGTGCTGGTGGTCCTGGTGTTGATAGCTGTCAGGTATGAATCACAAGGAAGATCAGCAACTTTATAGTACAAGCTATAAAGACTAAATGGACAAATGTAACGCAATCCTCGCAATCTTTGACAATGATATTTTGATTGTTTGATACAAAGAGCCCCTTTTGCTCCTCTTATGTCCGAATCTGAATCGACTCATTGTGCGCTTGGAAGTGATCTTCAATTATCGCATCTTTGTTTCAGGGTGATTCAGGTGGTCCATTATTCTGTCCAGTAAATGGTCAATATGTACAGTATGGAATTGTTTCTTATGGTGATGGTTGTGGCGTGGCAGGAAGTGCCGCTGTGTACACTGATGTTAGTGCTCTGTTGGATTTTATCAACTCCAAAACCTCCTCCAGACAATATGATATACTTAACTCATATTATCCATATTTCATGGCTAAGAAATTCCGGGGATGATGAAAGCCCCAAGAGAAACGTTGAAAATTAAAAGCCTATTTGTTTTACACAAGATATTGAGATGAAACGAAATTGTTGTGTCATTTTTTTCAATTGTCCAAACACCCATCATATCCTGTAATCTGGTAGTCGGAAGTTATCATTTCTGCATCACTGGCATATTTTTTTATAATGTATAAAATTATATGTACATTATATAATCTGATGGAGTAAGATGTGCTGTTGTCGGAGAAATGATAAACTGATGATAAGATGCCAAATAAATTTATAAATTAAACTTCATATCAAGATAATCCCAAGAGTCGCCTTCCAGTAGCTGAAAACATTCTGAAGACGATTTTCGGTTAAAATATATCATTTGGGGCAACGATTAGAACTGTTTGGAACATAGTATGCCTATTTGGGATGCATACAAAAGTTTTGGTCTAGGATAGATGTTCTGTAGCATTGGATTGCAAATTTGGACGGATCGATTGACATGGGTACTGCCAATGTATGTCCACTTAGGAGGATGAAAACGTGGGTATATATTACCGTTCTCTAGTACGGATGTATCTGTATGTGTAGGGAAATTCAGAAATTAGAACAATGCAAAAATACGACACGATTTTGACCACAATTATAGAAAAAAAATGTGGAATAATGTATCTGTGTATTTATTTGAACATTTTAATTAATATTTTGACGGTGTTAAAACCGTTAAGTCAATATATGGCCATCTGTCTATGCGTCTTCTTGGGCTTGACTTGTCTATATATAAAAACTAAATAAATACAAAATATATATTGTTGTACGTGGGTATCTTCAAGCTGAGAAAGGTTCGGTTTCACAAACTTAGTTGGCCTTGTTACAACGCCTCCGTCTTATCGATCAATCGGTATGGGTATTTAAATGTTCTTTGAAACAAGCAGAAATGTGCATTTGCTTCCAAATTATCCACCATGAACACCAAAGCTGTTTTAGTTTTATTGAGTGTTATTTCCTGTAGTTTTGGAAAGGATTTGCGAAGATATAGACAGAGACCAAGACATGACCGATGGGAGACACAAGATTTCCGTCCTCCAAGAATGGACCATGGTTACCAACAGTATAATAACGACGACTTCGACGGATGGGGATCGAGATGGGAACGTCCTAATGATGGTCATTTCAGACATCCACATCACCATGAATACCACGAACTACCGCCATTTATGACTGGTGGTTTCCCAGAAGGAGAAGAAATTGAAGAACCTGCACGACCTGCACCACCTTCCAAACCACTCAATCCAGTTTTGAGCACCCTAAGTGATCTTCCATTATCGCTGTATAATAGCTACATCTGTAATATGTTTGGTACACAACAAGTTTCTCCCAACATTGATGGTAACATGATCAGACAAAAGAGAGCTTTGTTCAGCAACGATTTCTTCCATTTGCTACGTAATTTCAGAAAAGTCATACGGGAAACTTATATCCAGTTGAAACCTTTCATGTCACAGCCGGACAATGAGCTACTTACTCGAATCCAGAATACCGCATTTAATCTCATGGATTTCTCTTCAAACAGAGGTCTTCAAGTCAGTGAGGTTGTTCAAGCTTTAATCGAAGAAGAAATGCAGTCTGAAGGTCTAGTTGGAAGCGCCCAGACAGTATTTGAAGCTATTCAAAAACTGTCTAACGAAAATAAATCAGACATTGAATCATCAACATTGGAAGCTGTTGACAATTGTAAGTGAATTTATTTTAAAGACGTTTTTGAAATATCATATGTTATTTATACCAATCTAATCTTCAAAAAAAACCCCAAAAAAACCTGAATCTGCTGTCGTTCACAGCCAGTGCCTATTTTGTTGTACCTATTCCACTGTCGTTCACTTGTGATTTGATTTTTGTTAAACGGTTTTACATTGGGTGAAAGCATTATTCGTTGATTTGAAGTGGTAATTTTATGGTAACGATCTACCCTCATTTTTAGCTTGTGGTATTATCAACAATGAGTTTTACTGTAATTATATGAAGAAATTATCTGCCAGTTCTGGTTGCAGTGGTAACTTCTTTAGTACCGAAATCTTGGAAAAATGCTGCAGTTCCTTTGGTGAGTTCATTGTGTTTTGTCTAATCAAATCTTATTTCGTCCCTAGGTATTCTCGCTTGCAATCAATATCGATTAACATGAGAAGAATTCCAAATTTACCTATGCCATTTGCAATGCACAATCAAAGCCAAACTGCCCACGAAATCATTACCAAAGACCTGAAATGGGTCCATGAGTTATTCTGTATCATCTGCTTTGGAAGATATTCAAAAGAATGAACAAATTATGTTGAAACGACCAGGTTTCCGACATTGTTTATGCATCTAATCTTCAATTCAAACGAAGGAACAATCATTGTAGCAACTGAGCCGACTACAACTGTAGATGTCACCACGACTCAGCAGGTCCCACAAGCTCCAGAAACAACAACACCAACTCCCATAGTTCTACCAACAGCACCAACTGAGAAACCAGTTCCACCAACAACACAAACCCCAACTACTGCAGCTCCAGTTGTTACAACGACCACTGCAGCAACAACACAAGCCCCAACTACAGCAGCTCCAGTCGCTACAACAACCACCGCGGCAGCAACAACTTCTACCCAAGCACCAAAGTCAAGTAAGTACCGGCATATTCCTTACGTAACGTAAGGTCGACCTTGTGCCTACAAATTCTGAGAGCAACTGGATTGATCCTTACTACTAGCAAGTGGTTGCATGTGGGTAAATCTCGTTTGATTTAGTCGAACTGAGCACACCGACGACTGGAAATCGCTGATGCAAATGTTGTTCTTCTAGCAAAAATCGGACCTAAGCTTTCGAAATCTGTAAGAAAAAAACAATTGATTGCAGTTGCTGGTTGTTAATAATTTTTTAAATATCCGCGCTTCTTTCTTTAATCATGATGATCAAAGCTAAAACAAATTTCGGCTTTCGAATTTTCATTTTTCAGACTGTGGCATCAGTTCTGTAAATCCGGCTCAAGGTTTCAGTGACCTCAGCTCGGCTTTGAATCAAGTACGAATTGTTGGAGGTGTCGATACTGAGAAATGCGAATATCCATGGATGGTTCGTCTTCAAGTTGGTAACTCATTATGTGGTGGAACTATTATTGATGAGACACACATCCTTACTGCTGGACATTGTATCGGGTAAGCTACATCTGATCATGCATTGTATATCTTCATATAGATATTTTGGTATCTATCTACCACAATGCTATTTCGATCCGATCCAGAAATGTGGTTTGCCTTTTTTTCACTAACGCAGGAGGTTTTCCATAGTCCTATAATCGAGTAACAAAGTCGAAATTTGTGAAAAATTCAAAAATAATGATGGCACCTGGTCACTTCCATAAATTGCCATAAGATGTTCAATCAAACTGGGATAGACGCTCTTATTTACAAGAATATGGCTGGCTAACGGAACATCCCTGTCTGCTATTATTTTAATTATAGATCTAATACACCAAGCGATATTACAGTTCATGCTGGTGAATACGATTATAATGTCCGGGATGGTCAAGATGTAACTCATACCGTCAAAGCTATTGATGTACATGAAGAGTATGCGGAATTCCCCTCAGGTGGCGTTGGTAGGTTTACGTATTTAAAGATTCACCTAATTATCTTCTGAACTTATCTTCGATAAAGACGTCCTATATAAATTTGTCTTTTAGGTACAAATTAATCATTTTTCGTTAACATTGAAAACACTTTAGTTCTTTCTTTGATGTCAGTTAGAATTTTCTAATTTTTGTAATAATTCTCACGTCTTAGACCTGAAAGTTGGACGATGCGTTGTGGTTGGTCACAGCAAACTTACCGTTGAATTATTCCTAATTTAAACAGATGTATTTTTATGTCGTAGAAAATGATGTTGCCGTACTGACACTGGATGAACCACTAGTATACAATGATTGTGTTCAACCAATTTGTTTACCAAGTGCTGGAGATGGGGCTGCTATTGAGGCTGGTACACAATGTGTTGTTGCTGGTTGGGGAACTACTTCCAGTAAGATTGGTTTAATCATTAGGGGAGCAAATACTTAATACGTATAATCTAATTAAACCATAGTGTATATCGCGCCCGTAAGCTGCCTTTGTTTCATAAGAGACAACACCCCAACGAGAGTAAACGAGGAAGACCGGATTTGTAAAAAATCAAATGTAAAGTTAATACTTTAATTATCGAATTTTTTCTTGACAGGTGGAGGTCAAACTTCGAATATCCTAAAAGAAGTAACAGTACCAACCTACAGTGGTGCTGACTGTGCCTCGGTCTTCTCTCAGACCACTCCATCGAACTCAGACCTTCAACTGTGTGCTGGTCGACCAGTTATTGGTGGAGCTGATAGTTGTCAGGTAGTTGCTCGGAATTGTTTTAGATTCCAATTCTCCTAAGTGGAAGACATTGTTTGTTTGGTTGTCATACCATGAATTCATACCACATTTTGAAGCCGATAGTGTCATTTTGTAGCTTACCTTGTCAGATACCAGAAGTTACCTGAAGCCCAGGTAGCTAGAAATATTGTGCTTAGCAGTTTTATTATACATGTCTTATTTTGTACAGGGTGATTCAGGTGGTCCATTATTCTGTCCAGTAAATGGTCAATATGTACAGTATGGTATTGTATCTTATGGAGCAGGATGTGCTGATGCCGGAGCAGCTGGTATTTATGCTGACACTAGTGCTATGTTAGATTTTATTAATCGAGTAACTGGAGCTTAAAGATTGATACGAAATAAAGAATAATTCTTCTTAAACATTAACTGCTCGATATATTTATTGCTATAAAGAAGCAATAACATTGTTACTTGCTTCTATAAAATTACATGTAATAACAGAAAAAAGAGAGAAGTTAATTTAAGTTTGCTGTCTGACTTGTCTTATGAAGACGATTGACTTGTCTTATGAAGACGACTGACTTGTCTTATGAAGACGACTTACTTGTCTTATGAAGACGGACATCGCGACAACGTGCTTTGTGAAATGATAATTTTAAAGTCACTGATTATTTGTTGATATCTGTTTTGAAGGCCCGCTCCGGAGATATTACCTTTTATTTCTAACTGGATGAAAGTAACTAATTCTCTTCTTATACAAGTCTGTGGATCATATTAAATACTGTGTCAATTAGATAACAGACTGCTTGGTACAATGGTAGTTTTCCGTACTTAGATCGATCTGTGAGTTGCCTCTCTGGAACGTCTTTATTTTACGGCCATCCCTTAAAAAGATTGTTTTGAATATCATTTAGTCGAAGTTACATAAATCTATTTGTCAAATCTAATGGTTATTAAATTTTAGTATAAAGAAATACATTACCGGTTCTTATACTAATGGTTCTGGCCTTTTTCAATCAGCTTGAATCTTTTTTAAAGTCTATTATTGTTTCATTAAGGCAATCTACCGATGAGAAATTTCAGGTTCCAAACTCACGTTCGCAGAAGCTCAATTGTAACAAGAAAACACCTGTAATTAGTAAAAGTGAGATTAAAGTGAGAAATATCTCGATGAACATATTGAATCTTATTTCCGTCATTAATTATTGCTAATGGGTTTCAATTAGATTAAAACCGTCATTCACTTTTCTAATACCCGTGGAAGAACGACTTGAACACAGTGTCAACAACCTCATAATCCGAAACAGTCTTTTGTTCAATCTGATTTATGAAATTCTAGATGATATAAAAGTAAACTACTTAACATCGTCTTAGAACAATAAAGTCACAATAGATTTTTTTCTTGAAATTAACTTCTAAGAAAAAGGCAAAAAACCTTCTCACCTACAAGATCATATTTACAAGGCATTTTACATTATCAATGAATGGATACACTTCACATATGACCTTTTAATCACTCGTATCAACTTTGGGGTCAGAAATGCACGAGAAGTAACGAACATTGGCGAAGGTTGAGCCATATGACCTTTTCATATTTTCGTTATATTCTGAAAACTATTTGATGTAGAAGGTTCAAAATTACTAACTCTATATTTAAAAAGAGCGACTTTTGGTCATAACTACCACTTAGGACCTTATAGTTCTATAACTTAGAAAATAAAAATTAAATTTGTAGTAGAGAACCGGGGTTCAGCTCGAAATGTTTCGATATTTTCTGCACATTGTAGATCTGATAAACCTGACTGCATATTCTCGAAACGATCTTCGCCCTAGGATGTCCTATGGTAATAAAAGGTATTTACTTCTAACATTGTTTCTAGGATATCCTAGCGCTAAGATCGTTTCGTGTCTAGGTTCTGGACTATCTTGCACGCACTAAACCAATACAACCCACTGTATCCCAAAAGATCTAAAGAAATAAAGATTGGTTGATGTGGCTGTATTACAATCAAGGGTGAATTGACAAAGAAATGAATCGAGTTTAACGTCCTACTTTCCTGCTAGGGCAAATTTGGGTAGATGCTTAACAACTGCATAACAAATTAAATCAGACAACAGAGAATAATCTGTGGCTACGTTTCTTTGAAGAAGGCTTCTGAATTATGCAGCGTAAGATAATTTCACTTGTATTTTCCTACCCCATACAAGAACAGATGACCATATATCCCTGAGCTCAAAGATGGTCATGAGAGATGCAAATCAGACAACTACGCTTCAGAAATCTTCGGATTGTGTCTTGACTCAAGATAATAAATAACACCTTTCCCAAACTCTGCTCCTAGTCAAGGAATCAAGCTTCGATTCTAATGAAACGACATAAACTATATTACCCAGCTGCGACGCTACAGTTTTCTTGTTGAAACATAATTCTTACTAAATGTATCTTATCAATTGTTTTATTTGGAAACTAGCATGTAGTGACGGTATTAACCATTTACGTTGTAGACACCTATTATTCTAATAAGAAATATGATATTAATTAATTAATTGCACGAGTAAATTTTATTGAAAAACATAGCGTGATCAATTGTTATAAGAAATAAAACAAAATCAAGGAAAGAAGCACTGGTCAATATTCGAACTATTGTGAAAATTTTAAACCAAGGAAATTTCTCTTACGGATAAGAAATGAAATAAAACGACTCTTTGATGTGATAAGTTGATGAAGATTTATGGAAATAATATTGGATTCTTATATTAATATCTTGATTTATTCCTGACCACTTGATGATATTTACCAGTTTTGGAATTTCAACGGTGCTGATATTTTGGATATTTTCATAAAAGCACTTTCCTTGCCGTGTGAATGCAGCCAATTGAAGATAATATTAATTTTCTAAAATAGTAAATGTGTAAGTGTAATATTTAATGCTGGATCCTTAATTAAAACGTGAAACAGCTTTTACTGAAATTTTTGGTGACTTGTTTGAAGTGTGTGGAAAAGAAACGTTCATAATGGAAAATCAAAATGAGAAAAACACATCAGTGACAACTGAAGCAACAGCATCTATAATAGATCTTGGAATGATCAGTAAAGAAGAACATGATATGGTATCTTGGATTATAGATTATTTCAGCTTACCACTTCTCTTTATAGCCGTATTGTTTAATTTCTTCAATATTGCTGTTTACAAACGAAAATGTAGCGATGCGTCTACGACGTATTTAATTAGTCGTGGTATTGTAGAAGTTATATATTGTCTGATGTCCCTTGCGTCTGGCCTTATGTCCATGATATACGGCGCAAACGCTACCACCGAATTCGCCTATCTTTGGTACACTGCCTATGTTTCTAGAGTTGTAACCTCTGCTATAAGACGATCTGCGTTTTGTTTGACCTGCATCGTCACATGTCAACGATGTCTCGTCTTGGCATTTCCGTTACGTTTCCGTCAATTCAAAATATCACGTTTTCCAGTAACAGTAAGCCTTGTTGTCATAGTTACAACGATATTGCTTCATATACCACAAGGCCTTAAATATTCTGTGGTTGCCATTAAAGGTACCATGCCAGAATTATTTCGATTTTCAATGAGGCCTATTTATCGTAAGAACATGGAAATTTTTGATGGAGTCAATCTCTTTACTAATTTGGTTACCGCGTATCTCCCTTTGTTTGCATGTCTGATTCTCGACTTATTTACGGTTGTCGCTTTCAAAGTACAGGCCCGTAATCGGCCAGATGACATGCGCACTAAAATTACGTTGCATAGAGAACATCAAATGACTGTTATAATTTTGACCACGTCTTTTGTATTCGTGTTACTTGCAATCCCTCTGAATATCAACAACATGATCGCAACGTTTCGATCTGATTATGGTTTAAGAACAAAGGAACATTATTTATTTTACCTTATGTTCAAAGTTGGCTATTTAACCGATCTTTTGAGTAACTGTACAGACTTTCTCATTTATTTTGGTATGAGCAAGTCCTTCCGACAAACCTTAAGAAATATAATGTGCTCATGTTGTTGCTGTGCTAAACTGAGGCAAATATCTGAGGTTTCAACTAGTTCGCTTAATGGATATTCCTCTGAAAAGGTTACAAATATATCAACTATTTGATTTGCCACACTAAACTATGGTAGCCTCAAACATTTAACAAAGCTCGACTGTGCTTGAATGATCGAATACCAACAAAAGAAAGGTCATTCAGGACAACCTATCGTCAGCAAATCAGACATGTACCATACCTGATCAAGTTGAAATCTATAGCTTAGGCAGAAATAATGTAAACTTAGGGGGCTCAGATTGATCTTGCAACAGATGAAGAGATGCTCTAAATCTCCAGTTATCCTTAGCTCACTTCCGCTATAGCGAATACACAGATACAAGTCACCTTTTTGATAGTATATTTGTACGCATATCCAATTAGATTTTTTTGCCTGTGTTATTGATAAGTGCCATTATGATATATCGTGTACCCTGCCTCCAAAAATGGAATCTTATTAAAAATTTGTGTGTTGTATAATTTCCATTGTTGCAATAAATATATTGTTCATTCTGAAATAAGGCTATGGTATTTATATATTGCTTGTATTACGTTCAACATGTATGCTTGAATTTTACCATTGGAATTTATAACAGCTGCGATAGGCTATCAAAGGGGATAGCAGGTCCTACCGCAATAGCCACATCCACAATAGTGCTTATCTTAAAGGAGTTCAATATTCCATGAAGTGTCTTGACTTTGAGCACCAGTTTGTAATAAATATATACATCAGATGAACCTTAGCTTTGGGATACTACTGCAACGACTTTCCGTTCGCAAAGTGGCATGTGGTAATCTGGAATGTCGATACCAATTTCAGGTAAACTGGTATTTGGTAGGAATTGCCGATTGATCATTTCATTCTGCGAGACGAAAAAAGATATGAGTCAAGACACTTATATATGGCTTATGTGTTCTACAAGAGATTCCTGGAAACACCTAAAACGTAACCTGATAATTCAAGATTGCAAAATATCCTTTCAGAAACACAGGGGATAAATGGGAGACAACAACATTTATCACCGTAGACCTACAAATAAAACCAATTATTAAAACTAAAAAGTAACTGCTACACAAAGCCTAAAAGAGAACCCGGCCAGATCGAAACAATATGAGAAAATGAGATGGTGAAAAAGTTTTCATAGACTTTGAAGGACCCATAATATGTGCACCTTGTCCCTTTATGTATTGTGATGCGCCTTATTTTGACGATATATTCTTGTATTGAAGAAAGTTCATATTTCAAGGGAGGTAACTTGCTGCTGTTTCAAAAATAAACGGTTAGCCTAGTGGTAATTTCGAAAAGAGTTAGAGGTCATGTGTGCCATTCCAGGAACCTTTAACTTAACGTTTTGAATCGTACGATATATTCCCTCTTGCAAACGAACAAAATGATGGATTAATGAGGCTGATAAAGTCATCTGGGGCAAATAACCTTCACTTCCCTTTTAAAAGCGTCGTAGTCCTATACTTTTTAAAGTTGTTATTCCGAAAGTATTGCAATAAAGGAAAAAAAAAGGGTTATCGTGAGTTATGGAATCTGCTTACTCCTTCTGACTAGAAATCTGATAAGCAGTGTTAAGATTTAAGAAAAAAGCCAGAGTATGGTGTCCATTACGGACACTTAGGGCCTACCTTGTGTAATCGCTTCTATTATTTTCTATTGTATCGATAACCGCCACTCCTTTAATCTCCTAACCCTCTGGCTTTATTACAAAGCATTAAACCCCAGTCTATATGAACTAGTGCGTTCCGGCTTGGAGGAAAGTAATATTAACGAACGCGACGTTATTGAAAATATGTAGCAGGCAGTCAATACCTTTCAATAGAATAATTTTACAATATAGTTTTCACACAAAGCTAGAAAGAGAACATTAAAAACGAGATGAAAGGCGAGGGTTAGTCAATGCTAGCTCAATAGGTTTCCAACAGCAAAGACTAAAGGAATTCGTGTTTTAATTATAAAAAACTTATCATTCGTAAGATCAGGGTGCAAATCACGGTTAAATTGAACTTAAAGGGACACGCCCATCTTATTATGCAGAGATCTATGTCAACTATCCTGTGCAGCGTGTTTTCTGATTTAGATAAATTAATACTAAGCGCAGAAATTGATTGATTTTAAAGCACGTATCTATGTAAATGCCATGTAGACATAGTACCTATATCATTTTCAACGTAAAAAGCTTGTATGATTTTCAAGCGCAATGCTATACCAAACAATTTCTTCAGTGAAATTGTCAAACAAATTCTATGCCTGCTTTCACACTGAAAGCAATTATTATATATGGATAGTTTGCGGAAAGCTGATTTAACCAATGTCAAGAAGATCGCATCCCTTTAAGTCGATACGTTGATCAAAGTGAAGAATCTGACATTATGATAATTTGAATATGCGAGTTATTAAACGAAAGACGATAAGAATAAACCTTTATCAGTTTCTAAAAAATGAAGGGTCAAAGATCTTAAAAGGTTGTTCGATTGCAGACAGCTTTTTTCAGAATGCATGGCGGGGTTACCACTGTTTGCCAATTATTAGAGTTGTGTCCCCTACATTGAAATATAAACGTAGTTCCAGCTGCTCGACAGTAATTGAATTTGATTGAAGATTTCATTTTGCACCAAGTATAAAAGCCCTACAGTCAATAGATAGGCCAGACAAAAGTTTTTGAAAACCCCGTCAACGCAGTGATGGTTTCAGACGACGAAAATAATCGATTTCTGTTTGATTTCAACTAGCTATTCTGTTTTTATGTTATCTGACAATTTAATTTGACAATATTCGATTTTAATTTTTACGAATGTGTGGATTGCTGAATAGTATGTTATGGTGTGTGTATTGATTAACCGTAGCCCAGGTTATTTCATTTCAATAAGTAATAGGATACGAATGTTTTGTGTTATTTTTACAAACCGTTATTTCTTTAAATGATCGCCTTGGGTGCTATAAACCATTCTGTTCTACACCAGTTGCTCATTTTCAGTCCTCAAGAGCTCAAAGTCTTGTCTTGTCGATCTTTCATCAGAACTGATTTAGAAAATGAAAATTAGGTAGGAGGGTAAATTTAACAGAAAACGCATCATCAAAGTGTGCCAACTCACCGAAAGTGGTTTGCTTTAATCTACCCACAAACGGTTGGTTGGTTTGCTATCTTACCAAAGACGGTTTGCTATCATATCATTTAGTACTTTAAGATGGCCATATATACAACTCACGTTAAAATATATTTACATTTATGAAATACAAGTCTGTACAAACATGTAACAATTCACATAAAAACAACCGACTAGAGTCTAACAAAACAATATAAATAATGATAATATACACTGGTATCAATAAGATTATTTTATATTGAAGTAATAGATGGGGTAACAGCTGCAAACAGACTGATTTAATATATCATTAAGGGAATGCAGTTCTGCAATGCACTCGATCTGATACATGACATATTAAGTATTCATTTTTTTTAAAAATTTGATGAGCATTTGCTTCGAGCTGTTTTCAGTACTCGGCTATCATTATTCCAATCTTTTCGAACCAAGCTAGTTATCTTTTTTTTTCTATCGCAACAGGGTTATGTGCCTTTTAAATTTGCATACGCTGAAACAAAAAGTATCTCTTAATCAATAGTCCAGAGTAATCATTGTAAATGTTCATGACAGATTCGACAAAACTAGTTCTAATGAGAAAATGAGCCACAAATAGTTACCATAAAAAATTTAATACAATTTATATTGGAAAGGAAATATCGTTAATCCTGTGCTGCGTTTTTTTTGTCATTTTAAATGTCTAAAAAAATATTTGGTTTAATATTCCTTAAGGAATAGAACATTATAGAGAATCGACGGCATTTAATGAACTTCCTTGTCACCTGTTGAAATATTCAGATATTTGTTTTTTACTTAAGAACCAATTAATAAAATGTTAGACTTTTATAGAAATTCAATTATTGGAGAAATTTGAAAGTGTAAAATCGTGTTTGAGTTTTACTTAAAGACCACGTTTAGCCAGCCAGTGTGGTAATTGTGTACGTCGTTCAGCTGCTGCATAATATATAGCATAATGAGTATATTACATAATGAAATCGAATGAGCAATTACACACGGGAATCTGCCATATGAACATTGTAAGTGTATCAGTGAACATCAGAGAACATACATTCTCCATAGTAAAACCACATATTACAGACGTTTTCTCATATTGGTTATGTAAGCGACTAACAGTCATAGCGAAAGTAATGGAGAAAACACGACCAATGATCAGCAGAAAGAGTTTAAGAAGAACAGCTGCTTTAACATGTGTATAAAGTACCACCAAGGGAACTACTTTGTTCTAACGAAACCTTAAGTGTTCTTTTACTCGGGCAAATAAGCTTTAATAGTAACACCATATCATGCTCTCGTTAATACTTCTAATGAACGTACAACGTTTACAAGAATTAAGCTCTACATTAACAGATTAGTTTTAATGTTGATCTGCACACGTAAGCAAGGCGCAACAATAGCCAACGACCAAATATCACGATTTGCGACCAAAAGCTTTGTTCACTGTGACGAGTTGAATATTTCAATAGCCTAATGGTGGTTGTAATCTTACATTATGTACAGAACCTACGTTTATGTAAAATATTTGTCTTAACGCCATATTTTAGTTTTTGTTGCGTTTTAAACGTTGAAACAATACTACATCATGTCCATCTGCATTCGATACTTGCCAATTATCGATATTGACTTATGTTAGCTCAACAATCTCCATGTAACACAATTATGTTCATGAGCACGACATGCATATGGTCACTTTAATTTAATATCATTTCAGAAACATAATAGTCGTTGTTTCTTTCAGAAGGATAGTCTTATTTATTTTAATTGTTTTTTTTACATATTTTGAAGGATATCACTGGTCTGGATATTGTAAACCAAAGGGTACGTAATCAAATCATTTACTTTTGACATTTGAATTTCGTGACCAAATTGCCTACTTTTCGCTTGATTTAGGACAAATTTAAAATTGGTTTTTGCATGTGAACTGACTTGACATTTGCGTCGTGCGCCGTGACGATGATCAGGATATTGTATGGGTTCTATTAACTACTTCGATTTCAGAACGGGTATCTCCTACCGCTTTCGACCTTTTCTTGGATGATGTAAGTTCCTACAGCCTGGCGTTACCATCTGTCGCTCCACTTTGCTAACATAACATTAAGCTACAGCATGATACTGTGGCAGTTCTTTACTTGTCCTGATTGTCAACAGAGTTCACGTTTCTTCTGATTTGACAGCTTCAGCCTCCTCTTCTGCAATATTCAGATGAACTTTTTCTGAATCCGCATCGTAATATGCTTTAGTGTCTTTGGCACAGTTTTCATTACCGTTTTTGAGTGGTGAGCGATTGATAATGATAGAGGGTTGAGTTTCAACATTTGTGTATTGGGTATAAGTATTATTACCATTGGCGTTACCACTTGAGGGAAAGAGGCAAGGTAATATTTGTCTGAATTCTTTCTTAAAATTGTCATTCATCCAGGCATATAGAAAGGGATTGTATATGGTAGAGCTCATAGCAATAACATGGGCTACAAAAAACACTAAAGCAAAATGTGACCATGTCATAACACTTCGCTCATATTCACGAACTAAATGAAAAATGTTCAGTGGCATCCAACAGCAGACAAAGATAGTGACCATAGCGATTAACATTTTATTGGTTCTCTTTTTACGTCGGATTTCAAGTTCGTCTCTTTCTCGTGTACGTGTTCCAGTTCCTATCTTAACTAGTGTCCTTCTTTTTAATGCCAATGACACCATTGTATAACAGAAACTAATGATGCTACAAGGCACTAGATACTGAAGAACTAGACTTGTTACAGTAAAGAATTGTCTGGCTTGGGTCCGTGGCCACTCCTCAGTACATGCTAGAGTTTCATTTTCATATTTGACTTGTTGATAAATACCTAATGGTAAAGAAATCGACACAGATATTATCCAAATAGCGATAATCATTAGAACACACATGTATACCTTCATTCTCGGTTTAAATGGGTACACTATTACAAAGTATCTATCGACAGCTATAGCTGTTGAAGTTAAAGTCGATACATAGACACTGATACATAGAATCATGGGGACCAAGTGACACAGAGCATCACCAAAGATCCAAGAGTTTAAAAAGTATGAAATGGGCGTAAAAGGAACAGCTAATAGACACATGAGCACATCCGATATGGCTAAATTGGTTATAAAAATATTGGTGATAGTTTGCATCGCCTTGTTTCTCAAAACAACGAACACGACAAGAGCATTACCACTTAAGCCTAAGAGAAATATAACTGAATAAAGAGTTATAAAAAGGGCCATAACCCATGGTTGTCGCATCACTTCCGGTGTTTGAATATGATACGAACTATTGTACGTTATTAATTGCCTTGTTGTGGTATTCGCTAGTCCTGTATAACTCCGCACCAGTTCACTCTGGGTAGTTGCCATGGCTTGTTCTTGGTAGATTCTAGAAGCCTTGCTCATCAAAAACTATACAGATTCTAACATAAGAAATTCTGAAATGGAAATGGTGGCCATTGATCTTAAAGATGAAAGTGGCATAAAAAAAAGAAAGAAACCGTTTTTTTTCCATAATTTGAACTGAATAACACCTGAAAACTACGCTTGATTTTTTTGTATATATTCACAATTTATGCTTACGCTTAGTAAAATTTCTTTTATGATGTAAATATATTTGTACTCTACTATAACTTTGTTTTAAAATATGTATGTTATATATAACATTACGCTATTATTTAGAGGAATAAAGAATTGAATGATCATACGTTACAGATCTCAATATAACCTACTTTCAGTATGCTGTTATATATCTTGAACTATTCAATATCTGCATTGATCTGAAATTACATATAAAATAACACAGAATTATTGTAAGTTAGAAGATTATTAGGAACAAGAAGCAAAAACTATTTAATATTGTACTTAAAAAATAGAAGCTAAACATTTTCTCCAAAAGCAATTATTGAATATAAGAATAAAAACATATCTGAAATTATATATAGAAATAAGCATTATTATCCTTTAAAATAATATGAAATCGTCTGTAAAAAAAATCTCAAATAGCACAAAAACACAATATGAGATTATACAAAATAATATAAGCCAAAATTACAAAATAATATATATAGTTAAAGAATAATAAAAAAGATTAGATATAGACTTTCTATCGAAATTTTACATTCAAGATAATTAAATTTTTCACATATAGAATGTGTCACGTGTTTTTAAATTATTTAAAAAAATTTTTTGTTGTTGTTAGAATAAATGGAGAATTCTTTGCTTAATTTCGTAAAACACAACAAAGGTCAGAGATTTGATTTAAAAACAATACGTAAACTATGTCTTCTGATGTGTAAGAAATTGCTTCAATATATGAATATTTGATTTGATTTACAAGTTTTTTTTTTAATACAAAAACAATTTATTTGTAACTTCCGCGGCGTCAAATTACAAAAAGAGCACGCAAATGTAAATGTTTTCGCCCTGAGATAAATTAGTTTAAGGTATATGATTCTTTATCAGAGGACAGATTGGCTTGACAATATGTTGTTTGTGGATTTCGGAATTCGTTTTGCGCTTCGGATTGTTATTTTGTGGTTAGCCGTATTTAAAGCTTCTATTTGCATCATTCCCACTGAAGTGGCGAAATCATTCTTCAATAGGACAGTTATTCTAAAGGAATCCGAGTTCATAAGACCAGATAAGATGATATTGCTGTAAAATGATCCCCCCTGAGAATTTGTTACCAACTGTTAACGTTTTATTCAGACACGACGCTGAATATAATATGAGTATTTTCATAGACAATAAACTTCCTGCTTTCTTTACACGTGAAAACAATGGTCATTGTCACTTTCTGGGCTACCAGTTCATTAATTGGACATAGTTTGCCATTGGCTGTTCTCTGTCACGAAATGAGCAAGAAATAGTTGATGATAATCATCAATGCTCTTTCAGCTACAAAAAATATATATGTGAAAGACGATGGGGACTACTCGGAATATCATGTTGCTTAGAATATCGGCCAACAACTGATGGTCTCTCAACATGGCAGATTGGCGTACGACTGACTGAAACCTGACTATCGATGAAAAAAAAATTAATATCTCAAACGATTATTGGAAATCATGATTCTGGTAGTTGTGATCAGAATGGCAATTGGTACAAGATAAGGACTATAATTATTACTATCTATTTTCATTGTAGGGAGGAATATGACACCATAGATCAATACATTATAAAGTGTTTGTTTTATGTCAAGAGGTTGGCTGATTTCCATTTTACATCTCTATTGTTTTTTTTATTGCTGTTATTTTTAATAAGGAAATAAATGATTTATAAAATAATAAACCTACACATTTACTTATTTAGAGTTTTTACTTTAACGTTACTAAGTGCGTTTATATTTCTACAACCTAATAATGACTCATCAAAGTGTCAATCATTATGCGTGGGATATAGATAGACGAAGTGACATTGCGAGATCAGGTCCGACTAAAGGTTTGGGTTCTCTTTCAGCTTAGGTTGAGGTAACAACTTGGATTTCTATTTCACCTTAAGTTGAGGTAACAACTTGGATTTTCAACTTATTTGTTCGCAACGTGTGATGCAAGCAGTGCATGTGAAAACTTTTTTAAGACACTGTCCTGCCATAATATGTCCTTACATTCCTGGTTTTAATCCGCCCTGTCTGGAACAGATAGTAGGACGGATAACATAATTTCCTTACTTCCAGGAAGATATATACAATGGAATATCAAGACTGAGAATGTGATCGTTTTAGACAGGTCGTCTTCATAAGATAGAAAAATAGGTTGAACCAAGTTTGGGCTACCGCTATTAAATTAACATGATTAAATTAATTTTAAAAAATGTACCTAAGTAAGTATCTTCAAAGTTAACCCACAATATAGCATGGTTTACAACTTATGATTGGACTTTAACAAAGTCTAAGAATATAGCAACACATGTTATGTTTAATGGAATTCCCGGTAGAGGGGCTCACGAGCCTCGACTCATCTAGTTGAACTTTCCACGATCATTAGTACGATCTGTTAAATAAGCATACAATGATCAACTGTGAATATATGACACACATTAGATAAATACTAGAGAATAAGGACACGACATTCTGGCCCCAAGCATCATCTACTCTTGTTAAGAAACAAAACAATTAATACCAGGATCATTACCCAGAGAAAATACATTTACTGTTAATTTCCTTCTCATGTAGTAAGCAAAACATAACGTTTACAGAACAAACACGAATGATCACACTCGGTATTGTGCTGTCTGTTTCCTAACAAATATTTATTCAAACATAACGAGTCATCAATATTGTAAAATAACTTTTTGAAGTTCAACTTTTTTTGTGCAGAGCAAACATTAGAACAACATTGGAATAAACCTTTTGAGAATAGGTTAAACGATCGGTGCTTGATGGCGTCTGAAAGTTGGGTATCTTGAATATTTCACATTTCCTTAATTCAAGTCAACTCAGCTATAGAATAGGTACGAGTAATCCTAGAGAGATCAATGCTTAAAGGTTTCGCCGAAAACAAGCTATTAGAAAGGATCCTATGAACCTGTTCATTGTTTTTTTTTATTTTTGACATTATTAAAACTACATTACCTGTTCTTAGTAAATAAGTGTTACAATATTGATTGTTGCGTTGCCTATATGCTCCAATAACATGCCGGTTTCGATCTCTTCATATTAAATTGTTATACTTTAATATATATATGTAAATGTGTGTATATTATAATCATTTTCTAACCAAATACACGTCAATATCCAAAATCTATGATGATATTCTCAATTCGAAAAACCAGAATTTTCATGACAATCTTGTTCATAGCAAAATCAATATGTACCTAATAAACTAACCTCAAAAAAACTAACTAATATTGACAAATATTGTTCAGATTAACAGTAGAAAAATACCCAGACCATCTCTTCCATTTTCTCAATAAAGTATTCGTTCCATCTAATATTGCTTTCAGTGTGCTCATTATTTGCCAGAACCATCAGCAACATTATACCTTGCCAGACAGACAATTGTACAGCATTGCCAACAATGGCTTCTTAAACTCTTAAATTCTAACGAGAGCAGTAGATTCCGCTGGCACTTTACATGGTCTCATATACATGCCACTAATGAATAACTTTCTTATAATTAGCTACTTCACGGGATAGATTTACAACAGAAAATATTCCAACAACGTGGCAATATCTCATAATATTATTAATTGATCGAATTTATGTCGTAATCAATAGAAAAAGTTTGTTAAACAGGCAGATGTTTTGTGTAATTCACTCAAATTGAGTGTCAAATTTCTTGCTAAATTGAACAAGAGAGAACGCAGAACCAGTGTTCATTTATTAACGAACAAAAGGAACTTATTTCTTTACTTTACATCTGAGTTTAGTAATATCAACTGTTGGTTTTCAGCCTGATTAGACCAAAGATTACATAAGATTGCCAAATGATTATATGATTTAAGAACAGAAATAGAGCTTAAATAAAAGCAAGAAAAATATGAAAAGAGAAAAACAGGTTCCAAGTCAGACATGTATAATAATACTCAATTGAGTCGATATCAAACGATTGTAAAGTTTTAAGAATACCACGATTTATTCCACAATATTCAAGATAAAATTGGTAGAAATTATTGAAATATCACGAAATACAGATAGCATATATGGAATGAAAATCTTCAATAACTCTTACAAGACAATAACAGTATTATTTGCTCTCATGTAAATTGATATGACCCAATATCTTCTTTCAACCACTCTGTATTTCAATGCACCAAGGATTGTTTTTCCAATCAGTCTGACCAAGAAACGAATTGTCCCCAATGAATCTCATACAAACGTCCCTTTTAACCCGATTGAGTCCAGGCCCATTGTTCAATGGCGTTTTTTGTTGTATTTATCGGAAATTTTGAGTCCTTAAGAGCAATTCAGACAAAGCTTTAATCTTTGCTGGCTCAGATGATTGTTCTGTCCAACATCATTCTAAACCAACCGAGTTCGGTTATTAGCTGTATAATTTATGACAGATTTTAAGGTTGACAATAGTATGATTTCCGGAAACGAGATGGTCTGTGGTAATACGCTTGGTCGGTCTAAGGTTCGTTGCCAGCATTGTACGGATGAGTCTAGGTCAATGTTTGGATAATTTGAAAAAGATGACGATAGATTAATTTCCGAACACGAGATGGACCAGCTATTTGATGTGTCATCGAGACACACAAGGTAATGCGTCAATATAAATATTGGTCTTTAATTATATATG